ATTAGTTTAGATGGAAAAGTAATACATGATTTTTGGTGCAAACCACAACAGGGGCAACGCAAACTTGTAGAAGATAGGCTTTGGTCAGATTGGACCACTACTGATTATTTTAGCTTAAGTAATATAGTTTTTGCCATATCCTCAAAAGGTTTGCATGTGTTAGAGCACTTGCAAACTCATTTCAATGCAAAAAGCCTAGTTCCGTATGAGGTGCAAAGCGATTTGTGCATGTAAAATGAGTCGGCAGAGGGTGCAAACTTTTTTTTCATTATGCCCTCATTCATATCTAGATTTGTTTTTAATGACTAAACCAGGACACTGTGTCAGTAGAGGATATGCAAATAAAATAAGAACCACCATCATGGCTGTTTATAAAAAACTAATACTCTCAATTTTCGAGCAGCACACACACTTTGCTCATTGAAATGAGCTGGAGCACATCTAAGGTTTTTATGTCTTTGTAGATCTAACCGACTTATCATAGGCACCATTTCTTTTCTTTTTGCCCAAGTCAGCATTCCTTATTTGAAATAAATGAAGATCAGCTGGCCTATGAGTGAAGGCCAAAAACCATGTAACAATAAACACCAAATGGTGTAGGTGGTATCATGCAATAGGGTGTTTATTCACTATGAGCCAGGTTGTTTAGATCTTATAGTGACGGAGATGAGCTAGATCAAATCCTTAGGGAAATAATTGGAAAAGGCTACAAAGACTGGAATACTGTAGATTCTCACCTCCACCTTGCAGAAAGTTAATGTCCTGTTATATGCCTGTTTAAAAATGTAAAGTAAGATAAGCACATTTATAATTTCTTTGATTATTAGTAAGTGTTGTGTTTTTTTTTCAATCGGTTAATACAGTACAGATAGAAACCACCAATCAGGCTCAAATCTGGTTTTGGTGATGAAGTCAGAGCAGAACTTCCAGAGGCATAACAGTCAGACTTTTAAAACCTATAGAATATATTCAGTTTAAAAGACTAATGTCTCAGCGGGTCCTTGAAAAATGAATTCATGGTGAAATTTATAACTGCAATTTAGGTTTGCCTAAAAAGTGGATCAGACAGCAGCTGATCCAGAATGCTGCTGACTCAGCAAAACTGAGCCCAGTTCTAAAATGTGTTGCATTACCTCCCTATATCTCAAAGTATAGAGTTTAAGATATTTATTTTAGTCTAACATCACTTAATGGCTTATTTCCAAAATGTCAGTATATCAACCTCCTAGACCTCTAAGGTCTTCTGGCTTAAGTCAGCTGTCAGTATATCAACCTCCTAGACCTCTAAGGTCTTCTGGCTTAAGTCTACCCTGCATGCCCAGAAACAGAACCAAACGTGAAGAAGCAGCTTTTAGTTCTTATGCTCCACTGATCTGGAACAAACTCCAAGAAAAGTGTAAAATAACTAATATCCTAAGTACTCTAAATTGAGATTAAACTGTTTGTGTTAAAGTGATCTTTGAGCTATCTGGTTACATTTTCATTCCAACTTTCCTTTAATTTGGTTTTAATCATTTTATCTAATTTTGATATGATCTGTTAATTATGAATATTTTTGCTCTTTAAATATTTTTCTGTCTAGTCAGTCATATGTATTGTCTGAATGGTCAAAGTTCAGACTAGTTGAGGAACAGCAAATTTTAAAAAACGACCATTACAGTTACACCTGATCTAGCATGAAAGCGTGACCTAATTGCAGAAAATACAGCAAAATGGTAACTCACAGTTACTTAACTGATTGTTTATTTGTAAAAATATTTTTAAGATAAAGGCTTGTTTTCCTGAAACATAAAATATGAAGTTTTCTGTTTCTCTACCACACAAAAACCTCAAAAAAATTAATTAATAGTTGTGGTTTGAATGCGTTGAAATATGAAATGCTTCAAGTTCATACATTTGCAAAAAGCCATTTATGTCATGATCTTGGCACTTGGCTTAATTATTCATGTCATTCGCCTCTCTATCTCTGCCCTGTTACTCATCACTGCTCATCTGATCCACCTGCTCCTGCATCTACTTAAGCTGCTTGCACCCAGCCATCGGTGCCGGATTATTCTTGATCTCTCATACCAAGGGTGACAGTGTTTTTGTGTACCTTAATGTTTCTGATCTGTTCTGGCTTTCAACCACTGAGCCTGCCTGTTCCTGTTTTGATCTGTTTGCCTGACCTCGCTTCGGACTCCTGCTTGTTCTCAAGGGCTGCAGCATCTGGGACACTTCTTTTTGCTGTTGGCAGCCCACCGGCTGAATCCTGCCTAATTTTCTGGCTACAGACTGAACTTGTAAACCAGGTCGTGACTCACATTCATCATCTTCCTCCATTAGATTTACGTGGTCACTAACCTGTGTTTCCTTTCCGAAGAGTTTCCTGTCATAGACACCCTAGCTGCTGCTACTCCAATCTGCCAGATTTTAATAAATGCTTTTTGAGTAATCTGTGGGGAAGAATTTCAGTCATCCAGGTCATAGTCATTCCAAAAAAAAAAAGTTAAAAACAATCCACTGGACTCTGTTTTCAAGTTTGAAGATGTTTCGCTTCCCATCCAGGAAGTTTTTTAATTGAAAAAGCTTCCTGGAGAACTTTAACTTTTTGAGTAATCCTACTGTCTGTCTTGCCTGAATACCAGGTCCTGTTCTGAGTTGTTACAGCTTATGAACTGAACTCTAAAAACTGACCATACTAGGCTCCTTATTTGTGTCACACTGTTATTGCTTAAAATATGATTTGTTTGTCTTCACCATGCCAAATGACACATGCCTTTGGCGAAGCTTGGCTCTTGTCGTTCTAAGCCCTTGTCACTGACAGTGAGGTTAGGGGCTTTATTTGAGTGCTGAAGAATCACTTCCTCACTGCGCAGACCATCGTTGCTCTCTGCTGCTGTGGCCCCTGGGACGCGGTGACCCCTCCACTCCTGCCGTCATCACCAGCAGAGTCCCTAGTGTATCAGCGGTCCTGGGAAAGTTTTAGATTGATACTGTGGGAACGTGAACTGTACACAGACATCAGTGACAAAAATGGAGGAAGGCGGGAGGGTCTCTGCGTTTGTGTTTGGTTTAAGAGGACATTCATGTTGTAATTTTTTGTAGGTCCATATGTTGAGTAAGCTTTTGCACCAATGAGAATTTTCCAAATGTGTATGTTTCTGCTCATTATCTATCCACTTTTCTTTCACCTCATTTTATTGGAACCAGGAAGCGGGGGAGGAAACAGACCAGCCGTGTTTTTTGGAACTGTTCGAGAGCTTTGGGAGCGGATGTGCCAGAGGTTGTTAATTTAGGGAGACATTGTGTATCTGGTTTTAGTGACTGACTGACTTTGGATTTTTTTCTGCCAACTGATTAGGACATTTCAGCTCATTTCAACCATAAAACAAGACCATGACAACTAGAAAGACACTTGGTTTCTTATTTTTGCTGCTTATCAGATTTCCACTTAAATGATTATTACATATGGCATAAAAATAGGGTCAAGTCTTAAAATAGGTAGAACATTTCTTTGCCAGATAAAGAAAAAAAAGTGCTGGAAGCACCAAGTTTTCGCAATTTTTTTCCACATGCTCACTCCTTTTCTTCCTCTTCCACCCTCGCTCTTCCCAAGAATCATTCTTCCACCCCCTGTTTTTTCTTTCCCACCCTCTTGTGTACAGGCTGTGATCCATCCTTAACTGTTTCCAGACGTATGCGTGCAGCGGCAGCCGTCCTTCACCCCCATCCAAAACATAACAACAAACCACCCCCTCCTAGCCTTACTCCCCTTATCCTCTGGCTTTTTCAGCTGTGTGATGTTAGAAGGTCTTTAGTAGTACTGCATGAGTTTGATTCAGCTGGGTTGTTGTATTTGCATTTTGACAACACCATACCCCATATCATTGTCAAAGCATAGCAACTTTCTGAAAAAATCTGGATCGCTCCTGTCAAAGTCTTATGTGAATACCCTCAATTTCACTTTTATTTCTGTCAAAACCAATTAATGGCTCAGCATGACCCAGGAAAAACTTGGACACAGCATTGTTGCCCATAAGCCTGCTGCTGATCTGCACACACTGACCTGTTTGTGAGTGGGCACAGTGCTGGTAAACCAGACAAAAGGAGACAGACATTGTCGCTCTGTCCTGGTGCAATGAGGCATCAAATACCTTCAGATTAGGCCTAGGCCAAGAAAGAAAGCAGCTTCATGAAGAATAAAATACTTTTGTTTTTATTTTGCCTTTAAGCTTGATGAGAGCAACAGGTTGTTCTCACATTTTGTCCCCTAACCTGAACCAGTGTAGCTCATGTCAATCTGTCACAACCTTTAAGTTGATCTCCCACACTCTTGAATTTGACTTTTGATATAAGAAAAGCTGATATCTTTTGTTTTCTTTTCTTTCTGCTCTCATGAAGATATTTTTTATCTAATCAACATTACATTAGTCAAAATAAACTTCTTATCTTCTAGATTTAAATGCATTGTTTGATAAAATGGGCGTCTGTTTATTTGCCCTTATTTTCAAAACTAGTTAAAAGCTATATTAAATAAAGATTGTTTTATATCAGCCTTAGATGATCATTCCTCTGAGAAATATGCCTTTCCCTAATCTTACTTTACTTCACATTAGAGGAGGCAGTTGATCAATGATCCAAAGGACTGCAGTGATGGAAAATGTTTAATTATGGATTAAGACATCAGAAAATCAAACCGAAGAGTTTTTTTTTTTATCAAAGTTGCTTTTTGCAGATACATATCTAGAAGACCAGCCTATATCTCAGACTTTCTTCATATTTATGGGCCAAAAAACACTATTGCAGTCATGATGTACCAGCTTTACTGAGAGGCTGCTCAGAATAATTATAGAACGATTGGTAACTTTTACTCCAAGTGTTTTTAAGGTGTTTGCTGGTAATTTGGGGATTTTTTTTTTTTTGACATTCTAATATTATTTTCATTGATTAATTTTGTCTTTACCAAACTTTGTCTTGTATTCATAAATAAATGATTGCTCCATCTTTCCTTTTTGCAGAATTGTGGGGTCACGAGGCAGCCGCGATGAGGAGGCTGGTAGCATCTGTGCTCCACCTGATGGTCGTTTATACAGGTTAGTGTTCAGTTTTTTTATAGAAAACAACAGATAAACCAATCACGATATAAGACAGCTACCTCTGCAGGAACGATTTGTTGGATATCCAGTGTATCACTTACTAATACCTGTAAAAAAAAAGATGTTGATTAAAGTAATTTTATGTTGCAGGATCATACTTTTACATTTGAAAATAAGTTACTTTTCTACACTGGAAGATTGATTCTTTGTATTTTGAGACAGATATTTAGGCTTCTTTTTTCTCTAGGCATCTAATCAGGGAATCAAACAATTACACCTCTCACATAGTATCATTTCTCAATACTTAAAGGTATAGTGGGGGATTTCCGTGAATTTTTTAAATGACCCCCCCTCTTCACTTTAAAAAATAAAAAATGCACATACACAACTATGTACCCGCTCCCGTGAGGGAACGTTTATTAAATGCCTGCGAGAGCATGCACAAGCCCATTTCTCCTCGTGCACACTCTTTAAAAGTTGCTGTTTGCGTCGCTATTACAAGCTTACTTTCCAAAAGAAGATTTGCAATTTTTCCACTATGTCAGACTCACCACTGGTAAGTGAAAATGGGGATGAGCACGTAGGACAGCCTTACGTAAACATATCACCAGAATGATTGACAATTATTTTGATGATCCGTCCAGAGAAAGAACATCCTCCACTATAACCAGCTGGAATCTTATTCGCTTTCTTAGCGTGGCTAATGCATTAAAAGGTGTGTTTACTTTACCCAGCTTTACCAATCTCTAGGGCTCTGTGTAATCCATGCTGATAAACAGATTGCATTTTTATTTGAAAGATATTCCATTCCTATTTTGAAAAAGAGACTTAACAGCACATAATCCAATGTTTAAACTTTCATTAGTCATGATAACAAAGTAGAAGGATCATTCTAGCAGAGAGGTAGTACATTTTATATCCACACAACAATAAGGTAATACTTTGATAGGAGATATATATGTTCACACAGCAACATGTTCTAAAGCAACTCTTCACTCTGTGAGATAACACAACTCTCAATGCGAACGACAAAATATGCTTCGTCTGCTCTGGATCCATCTGTCTCTGACACACCGCTTTATTCCTCCCACTCATCTGCTCCAGTTCACTCTCATCCTTCAGCAGTCAGAGATAGGGCAGGATCTGACTTACATTGTTGATTTAACCTCTGAACTCCTTCTGCTATCCCTACCCCCCCGTCCTCACCCCCTTACACCCATCCCTTGTCTTACAACACAGCTTTAGTGCCTTTCTGTTGTAAAGTGCACAGCCTGGAGATCTTCCCCAATGCAGAAGAGTTCATCCTGATTCAAGGCTCGTCTCTCAACCTAACCTGCTCTGGCTCCTTGAGTGCAACTTGGGAGTTTAAGAGGGATGATACACCAAACATCCTTGATGATCTAGATGAACATGGAAATCCAAGATACATATTATTTCAAACCGATCCCACATCGGTTTCCCTGACCCTGAATAGAGTGAGTTGGAGGCATACTGGCGTCTATCAGTGCATTGACAGGCTCACGGATGAGATGGCTGAAGTGACAGTTTTTGTCCCAGGTATGGTATGCCTCAACGACCTTTTCAGTATGCCCTCATGCTTGAACCCTCATCAATTTCGAGGTCACCTCTCGCTTCAGATCCGGAGTTTTGGTTTGTGGTGAGGCCCCATGGCATGGTGGCGAAAACCAGTGAAGAAAGCATCGTCCCTTGTGTGGCCACCAACCCAAACATCACTGTGAGTCTGTACGAGATGGACACCCACAAGTTCATAACAGGGCGCTATATACCTGGCGAGGGGTACAGGGCGCATCTGGAGGACAGAACATATGTGTGTCATGGACAGCTGAATGGAAAGCTGAGAGAATCTCAGTCTTTTGACGTGTTCAGCATTACAGGTAGGTGTGCAGCTCCTGGCACTGCCCAATTTGATCACTCAGATTTGACTCAGGCATGTTATTTTACTATTGTTTACCATTATTGTTTCCCTCCCAGTGCCTAATGGGGTCGACCCTTACATCAACACTTCAAAGACGGTCCTGAAGCAGGGCGAGCCGTTGACTATAAACTGCACTGTGCATGGAGTGGACCTTGTGTCTTTTTACTGGAATGTTCCAGACACAGTGGTGAGTGGGAGTGGAGCAGAACAGGCTCTTTTGTTCAAATTCACCCTTTTGATTTCTCTCCAGACTCATAACCGAACCCAAATTGAAAAAAGATGTGGAGACACACCCCACTTTGGATTCTCCGATAATATTGCTCTAAAAACATCAAGTGTGGCGATGCACCAAGTGATCATTTCTCCTTACAACATTTTGTTTTATGTTAGAAAGGTTCGAGTTATATCTCATACTCAAATGGAAATTATTAAAATAAAATTTTTGTTCAGTTATGCCCTAAATAATGCATCTGCGGCATCATATTTGTATTTGAAAAGATTTTTTTTTTTTTTTTTTGGAGTTCCCAATCTGAAAGACAACAAAAAAGCTCCCTGAAGTCTTTTTATTTATATATTTAAAAAATTTAGCTAGGTCCAAGGTCCAATCTATGTATAGATAACAAGCAAAAATTGCAGTAACAATTATTTACTAGTAGTGTGTTTTCAGAAACTCACAGCAGCGGTGCTCATCTTTTAAACCTTTTTTGTTATCTGCTGAAGGTATATGATACGATGGTTGACCAAGATCAATTAAAATTAAATGTGATGAGATCAGGTGTTATCTATATTATCTATATTTTCCTCCTATCTTAAAGGCTGACAAGGTTGATCAAGAGACAGACTACTCCTCCCTGAAGGGCATGCAGTCCAGACTGACCTTCCCTGATACTACTGTGGACCATAGCGGAAACTACGAGTGTGAAGTTGTGGAATCGACGCAGGGCTTCACGGGGTCTTCCACCGTCACCATCACTGTGCTCGGTTAGAGACAGACACACAATTCAAACAAACCAACGCTGCAGGGATCATTATTGGGTTTGGCTCACCACAACAGTAGTTATTAACATCAACACTGGGAGGTAAAGGACTGAGAAGACCTATGTTTGAAGGATTGAGTTTGGTTAATTTTTTTGGGATATGAAGAAAACCTTTTGACGAGGTGTACAATCACTGAGTGATACCATAAAAACCACACCAAATCATCGCACACACCAGCTTTATATTTAGACTTTAAGGTGGAAACATGTTTAACTGAGACACATAATTCCCCAACTTAGAACAGCAGTCTGGGAGCCAAAACAAGCAAGGTCTTTCTCACATTTTCCTTTATGGTTTGGCTCTTGACCATCACTATGTCCGTTTTGGGTCTATGAATGCTTATTCCATTGGCAGTGAGGTGTACTGTTTATATAAAAGCCTTAAATAACTTGAAACTCCATGTTCAATGGAGACAGAAGACCAGGATGGATTTTAGCTTTAACTGACATGACAATAGAAAATACCCATATTATTTGACTGCATCTTTCAGTAATGGAAACATTACAAAAGCTCTGGTTTGAATATACAAACACAAAAAGACCCTAATATATAAATTTTCTTTGGTGCTATTGTTCTTTTGAATAAAAGAGCTTACCGTATATGTAAAATGTTGCCCACACCCTCAAGGTTTTTTGGATATATATGTAAGTCTGTATATTTCCTTGAGTCTGGACCTGAATCTAATTTGCCTTAAAAAACCTTTGCAAACAAATCCCAGCTATCCAGTTGATGACACATTGGATTATGCAAATTTAAAAACTATACTTTAGCAGATGTTATCTTTTAAATTGACATCTTTTAAGCAGCTTTTAGGTTTACGTTCCTTACAAAAGTATCAACTGCCTTTGATTTTGTTCACAATTTATTACATTATGGCGACAAGCTTTAATTTGTTTCATACAAGATAAATGTGAAATAAAAAATTGAAATTCTACATGAAAAACATTACATTAATTATGCACATTACTCTTAACACTTTACTGCCACAGTAAAACCCTGCTGTGGGAGGATTCTTCTGCACGATGGAGCTTAATACCAAGTTGACCTACGACTTTTAGCCTTCAGGCAGGGAAGCATCATCCTGAGACCCTAAACAAACAGACTGAGCAACAAACGGCCTAGATCAAAGTGTGTTTACCTATCCGACTGACCCAATCAAATCCAGACCTGAATCCAACTAACAATCTGCTTTTAGACTTGAAAGTTTTTATGCACAGATGCTGACCACGAAATATTTCTTAGTTTAAGCTAACAAAGGTTTGATTTTATTGTTTAGATTAGCATATCTGTAAGCCGTGTTCTTAAAGACTTGCAGCTCTATTTCCAGCTAAAGAGGGATCTACAAAGTAATAACCTAGTGACTGAATCCAAGTGCACAGCCAAATTTTAAATATCTATTTGTATTTTTTAATGACATAATCTCCAATCGCAATAGTGCTTGTACAGTCTAGTTATCTCTTTCCACTTCATAATTAATTTTTTGACTGAAAGTGGTTGTGATATGACAAAATATTGTCAAATTCAGGTAAAATGAATAATTTCCAAAATTTCACAAATCGAATCATTCTATCCATATTTAACACGTTTAACATACACTTTAAAACATGTTGCTTTAATTTCACTTATTCAGATGTTTGAGTCTGTTGTTTTTTGTTTGTTTACCTTGTATTTATAACTATGATGTGTTTTTGTTATTCTTTATCAATTAAGAACCACTTATACACATTGGGGACCATCATTAGCCTGCAACATTTAGGGAAAAAAGGCTCAATTTGCAGATTAGTTAATTGAAAGGGAATGCAATATTTATTTATTTAGACAGCGTGGCAGAACAGGTGGTAGCCATGTGAGCTTGCAGCAAATAGTTCCTTGCTTGAAATCCTGATGACTGCTTTTTTGCATAATTTTCATGTCATGTTCGGTTATGCATGGAAATTAAATTTATGTCAATATTTAGATGTTTTAAATAGATCCTGTGGTAAATTGAGGATATCTCCTGGGTATGCCTGGCAGCCAACACATATGTTTTTTCCCCCCGGTGAATTTAATTATGGAAAACAAAAGGTCTAACAGTGTTAACAGATTCATTAAGTCAATTACTGCAGAATAATTATGTTATTCAGTTGGTCATACTGAAGATTCTCCTAATGGCATGTCTTTCTATCAGAGAATGGCTTTGTGGAGTTGAAGCCTGCCCGGCAGCAAAACATTTCAGCCAAGCTTCAGGACAATGTGGAACTAAGAGTGGACATCACAGCCTACCCTCCCCCTAAGATTCGCTGGACCAAAGATGGGACCACCATCAAGGAAGAAAAAGCTATCGTCTTTAGACAGGAGCATGAAATAAGGTAAAAGATCCATTCCAAGCATTCAGCTGAGCCATAATTCTAGAGCACATGCAACAAAGCTAGAGATGAGGTTCCCTGTAGCATGTTGGATTCAAACATCAAGCTCCTGTCAGTCAGCACACAATGAGACGTCCTCAGAGGGAAATGCAATACTCTCTAGAGGGAAGAACTTTGTCTGTCAACACGCCAAAACCATCAACAACGGATACCTGTCACAACTCCCCCCTAATGCTTTTCAGACAAATTGCCCACAGGGCTGTGCTTTTCACATGTTGCAAAAAAAAGAAATGATTTTGTTAATGTATTCATCACAGCAAATAAAGGAAACAAAACAGCTACCCAGTGGATAAACAATAGAAATACTAGATAGGAAAAACGCATTTTCATTCTAATGTATTCCCTTATAAAACATGAGGTTGCAAAACAGCCTCTGGTGATGAATGAAGAAACATACAATCTAGACTAAATGGTCTCTGGTTTCACTTGTTCTGAACTACAGTTTTGATGCAGTTCCTACAGTATAAACATCAATTGTGGTCATTACCGGTATTGCACATTAAGGTTGCTAAGATAATACATTAAACCAGTTAGAGAAAGAGCATAGAAATGAACTATTATGCATTCTTATACAGTAATTCCTAAATAATGTATACTTATAAAAGATTGAGATTTGGAATAATTTTTATCTGACCAATATAATGAGAAATGATGCAGACATCTGAAAAACATTCATGTGAAAAGGGTTTGTTTGTAAAAAAAAAATTTGTTTTTATCTCTAAATCTGTGAATCTGTTTTTAATCTACATTAATTTAGAATATCATGTAATATGATTTATACTCTTCTCAATGATTAACTGGAAAATCTTTACTGACAACACAGTGTTCAAATCCTTCTGATAACCAATAGGCCATCACTCTCCACTTAGTTTATGTTTAGTGATGAGCTCCAAGTCTTTTGGGTTGGAAGGCCACCCTGCCATCACCATAATCATTAGCTTTATTCAAAGGTTTTCTGCCTAATGCCAGTCAGGTTTCTGGTTTGGCATGTCCAAAATGGAAATGTTATTCACAGTCAAACTGAACATGGTGTGAAAATGGTCCAGGGCTAAATCATATGTTAATGTAGTGAGAATGTAGTCATGTTTTCGTTTTAAAGGATCCATATTTAGCTTGTCAGTTTTAATTATCACAGTGAAAAAAGGAGGGCTGATGAGATTATGTCATCGTCATCGTTGACAAAAAACAACACTGTGTGGATGAAATGTCATGTATTTCATACAGAATTAAAGTGGTTGGCAGGACATTGCAGAAAAAGAAAATCCCTCACATTTAGTTACTAAAACAAACTTTTTGTTTTGCTCATGCTTTTCTTGCTTCAGGTATGTGACCATTCTCACCATGGTGAGGGTGAGGGCCGAGCAGAAAGGCCTCTACACGGCCATCATATTCAATGGAGACGACACAAAGGAGGTTGTGTTTGACCTGGAAGTCCAAGGTGTGAAGATGTTCAAAACAATGTTTTTTGTTTGCATTTATAAATGTATTTAAAACCTGGGATTCAAATCAGGTTTTGGAGTTCAGTTTACTTCATGTTTAATGACTGCTATGCCCCTCGCTGCGTAGTTCCTGCTCGGATTAAAGAGCTGACCGACCACCATCTCCCAGGGTTGAAAGACGTGGTGACCTGCACCGCTGAGGGCTATCCGACCCCGACCATTTACTGGTACAGCTGTGACAGCATGCTCAAGTGAGTCACATATCATTTCTACTCTCTGAAATACCACACACGAACACTAGAGGGCTGACCTTACAAACTTATTCACTTCAAAACATCTGCTTTGACTTTAGGGCTTTGTTAATGCAGGTGGTTGGGTGTCTGTGGCTCCCTCTTTAGGTGCAACGAAACAGCTGAATTGCATCCTCTGAAGCCGCAGCCGGAGGAGCTGAGCATCCAAACCAATGTCAGCTATATCAAGGCCCGGGAAGTCAGCCGCGTAAGCAGCCAGGTGATTTTCCACAAGCCCCAGCAGGTCACAGTTCGCTGTGAGGTACTCAACCAAGCCGGAGATGACGGAAGGAACATCAAACTGGTGCACAGCAGTAGGTTTCTTGGAGAATGTTTCTTTTTTCTTTTTTTTTCTTTTTTTACAGGATACATTAATGTCTGTTTTTCAGTATACATCTTTACCACTGTGCTTCATAATGAGGTTATACCCAAAAGTATTTATATATAATAAACAAATATTGATCTTTAAAGACACAAGTCCATATATAAATAATTATTGCCTTCATCAAGACATTTTTTTCTTCCATACATTTTTTTTTTTTTTTTTTTTTTGTTTCAGCCTGGTTCTCCCAGGTGGCAGTACTGGCTGCTGTCCTGGCCTTAGTGGTCATTTTCATGTTGTCTATCATCATCCTCATTGCTGTATGGAGGAAGGTATGAAAATCATAACTGCATTAATACTCTTTCTCCTAGTCTGAATTTCAAAAAAGAATATTGTAAGAAATTGTAGTTTATTGACAATTTCCTTGCCTTCTGAACATTTTTTTTTTGTTTGTTTGTTTTTTTCCAGAAACCTCGCTATGAGATCAGATGGAAGGTCATAGAATCCGTTAGCCAGGATGGACATGAGTATATTTATGTGGATCCCATCCACCTGCCCTATGACCTGGCCTGGGAGATGCCCAGAGAAAACCTGGTGTTGGGTGAGTCATCTTAATGATGGATGGATGGATGGATGGATGGATGGATGGATGGATGGATGGATGGATGGATGGATGGATGGATGGATGGGAATCTGTGCTTCATGGTGTTGATTACAGAATCATCTGTTGAGTAATCTTTATATATCAGCAATGCTCCAGAATTATGTTTTCGCACAAGGCCAGCTGTTACTGGTTCTGACAATGCAACACTGCAGATCAACTAAAATGCACCACCCTTATTGGGAGACATGGTGGTTGTAACATCATGCTGTCGGTAGTCAGGGTTAATAAAATAATGCATGGAGTTAGATAAACAACAATTTTAGATGTAGACTAGTTACATGCTGACATTAGACTGGGATGAAGGTTCACCTTCAACCAGAGAGCCACTTCAATGGTTTAGACCAAAGCATTATTCTATATTGGAGATTAATTTGAAGTCAAAATCTCCAAGTCCAAGTCCAATCTGTCTGGTCTGTTACTGTTTATACTTTTGCAAGTTATTATAACTGCAAGTATTACAAACCGACTGAGTTACGACCTTTGAGCTTATTCGTCATCTAAGCAGCAAGATTTAAACTATTTGAACACCCTAGGCTTTTTTTTTTTTTTTAACAATGAAGAAAAAAAAATCTTGGAAAATAGTGGAGGAGTTTCTAAAATCTATTTCGTAATCTTGAACTGCACAAATAAAAAGCATGCTTCTTTTGTCCATATGTTATTTACGCCCTCTTGTGGTATGCGGTCCATGCCTTTGTATTAGATTGTAATCCAACTCTGGATGAGTTCAAGGTGAAGATAAAAATGTAAAAAAAATCCCCCATTTTGATATTTACTCACCAATATATTTTAAAAACAGTCAAAGTCAATCATTTATTTGATGATTCAACTGTAGAATTGTTCATATTTGTCAATATGATTAAAATACAAAGGTAATGTTTCTTATATAGGGTTAATCAATATACTAATGAGTTAAACTGCTAAGAAAACTTAACAAATAAAACTTCCATACCTTTTTGTCTAGCTTTCCTCCTGCTGTTTTTCCTCCTTTACCCCTGATGAAAACAGACACTTTAAACTGGAAATTACCCTCATAGGCTTTTGTACTGCAGGTGCTTTGGGTTGTCAGCACACAGTCAGCTGCAGAATACATAATAAAGCTTTTTAAACCTGCCCCACTGGCAACAGTCCATATTCGCTTCTTAACTTCTTGTCTTCATGGCAACATTTTTTTCTGAGCCACTAAGCAGAAAACATCTGATGGCTGCTCAGTTAGACCTCCACTTAGATAAAAATCCCTTCTTATATGCCATAAACTCTTTTTAAAATCAAAACTTTTTTGACTTATAGGGGAGTGTTAATTTTTCTGTTATAATAAATACGGGTTTTTTTGTGTTATGGTTAATTTTTTGGTCTATTGTGTGCTCCATTTACTCTGTGTCCCATTGAACTTTTCTTTGTGTTTTCAGGTCGCACTCTTGGATCAGGGGCTTTTGGCAGGGTGGTCGAGGCAACTGCGTACGGTCTCACACATTCCCACTCCAGCACAAAGGTGGCGGTGAAAATGCTCAAATGTAAGACACACAAAGTCTAAAAGAAGAAAAAAACCATCTGCGTAGTTTCTATTAACAAAATAAGGAGACCCCTGCTTGGCTGTCAGATAAAGTGACACCAGCAAAGTGTTCCTGTGAGCTCTTAGAGATCTGTGTGCCTGCTGAGCTTCAGTTTGGGTGCCAGCCTCATTTAGGTTGCAACTCGCAGGTCTTTGTGGCTGTTTGGCAAAAACACAGCATCTCCTGTTGTCTCTGGGCTCTCGCTTTGTATATCTCACACTGTTCTACCTTTAAGCAAGTTTTTTCTCCTGTTTCCTCTCTGCTCTCATCCAGCCTCAGCCAGGAGGAGTGAGACGCAGGCGCTGATGTCTGAGCTGAAGATCATGAGTCACCTTGGGCCTCATCTCAACATAGTCAACCTGCTCGGAGCGTGCACCAAACACGGTTAGATCTACACTGACAACTTCGCTAATAAATTGACACAATACTAATTGTTTGGCAAAGGTTTCATATTATGAGTTGCTCACAGTTATAAAGGTATTAACGTATATGTATATGTAGTTATAAAAAATCAGAGGATTACATTACTGTTTTGAACAACTTTATATATACACGTGGATAAAATTGTTGGTACCCCTTGTTTAATGAAACTTAACATAAAACAAAAGAAGGGAAGGAAAGAGTAGTCTCAGGAGATTAGAAAGAAAACTATAGACAAGCATGTTAAATGTAAAGACTAATAGACCATCTACAAGCAGCTTGATGTTCCTGTTACTACAGTTGCAAATATCATTCAGATATTTAAGATCCACAGGACTGTAGCAAACCTACCTGGATGTGGCTGCAGGAAGAAAAGTGATGATAAATCACAGAGATGGATAACACAAATGGTAACAAAAGAGCCCAGAAAAAACTTTTAGAGATATTAAAGGTGAACTTCAACCTGAAGAAACATCAGTGTCAGATTCAACCATGTTTTTGTTTAAGCCAAAGTGGCCTTAATGGGAGATGGATACCATTGTTCAAAACATATCATTACAAAGCCAGGCAGGAAAATGTGCCAAAATAAATGATGACAAGCCACGAAGCTTCTAGGAGAACAAAAATTATGTTTTTGCCAAGACACATCAGCTCTATGTTAACCAGAGATGGGAAGTAACGAAGTACAAATACTTTGTTACTGTACTCAAGTAGATTTTTCTGATATTTTTACTTTACTACTTATTTTTATGGCGACTTTTTACTTCTACTCCTTACATTTTTACACAAATATCTGTACTTTCTACTCCTTACATTTTAAAAAATTGTCTCGTTACTTTAGTTTTGAATCATTTCAATGGAGTTACCGTTATTATTTTTCACGTCATCAATACCAAATTCAATCTAAGTGGATGGGAATCTACGTTGCATTTGACGCACCACTACAAGATGAATCGACAGATTCGGCGGTATTCATTGGCGGCAAATCATTGCAGCTTGGTGGCGGTGGCGTTAGCATAGTAGCATGGACGACGAGATGATTGAAAATGAACACAACGGAGATCTAGTCCTATTGGCAGACATCCATTTAAAATGTAGGCAACGGCATGAAAAAAGTGGTTTCTACTTTTACTTTTATACTTTAAGTAAATTTACAAGCCTGTACTTTGTTACTTTTACTTGAGTAAAGAAGTTTAATCAGTACTTCCACTTTTACCAGAGTATTTTTTAACACAAGTATCTGTACTTTTACTCAAGTACGGAAAGTGAGTACTTTTGCCATCTCTGATGTTAACAGACAGAAAAATGAAAAATATTTAAGAACACTGTTCCTAATGGGAAAAACTGAGAAGACTCAGTTATGTTCTGGGGCTCCTTTGCTTCATCTGGCACAGAGTGCATTGAATCTCGGCAGGGTTCAATTAAATCTGAAGACTGTCAAGGGATTCTAGGGAGAAATGTGCTGCCCAGTGTTAATAAGCTTGGTCTGAGTTGCAGGTTATGGGTCTTTGAACAAGGTAATTACCCAAATCAAAAAAGCCAAAAACACCCAGGAAATAGAAAAACATTTGATTTCTACATTTCTGAGGTAGTCTTTCATGATCCCTGACTTAAATCATGTTTAGAATCTTTGGAAGGAGCTGAAACCTGCCATCTGGAAAAGCACCTATCAAACCTAAGACAACTGGAGCGGCTTTTTCATCAGGAGTGAGACTAAATACCTGCTGAGAGGAGCAAAAATCTCCTTAATAGTTACAGGAGATGTTTGATTACAGTAATTGCCTCAAAAAGTTGTGCAATAAAATATTAAGTTGAGGGTAATATCATTTTTGTCCAGTCCAACTTCTAAAAGGAAAGTGATTGTAAACTTATACTCACAGCTCTAAATGGATGGCTTAGATCAGTCCATATTTATTTGTAGGAATGGCCAAAATTCGAGCTATGAATCATATTAAGAATCAGAAGCATGACAGTTGGCATTCACAGACATTCTGCTTTTATTCTGACTGATATTGAGTATTTACTTAGCAGTTCTGAATAAAAAAAACAACCAATGCCACAGCTTTTAGATCATATTTTAAATGTCAAGTGCATTTATTGACATTCTACAATTACACACTGCTTTCTGTTTATGAACCACTTCCAATGAAAATCCATTGAAGCCTTTTAGTGTAAAGTTCACATAATGTGGAGTATTTTAATATTTTGGAAGGCATCATTACTGCTTGTAGAAGGATACACATATAAGGGGAGTGGCAGCTTAGTGATTAGGGCATAGAGCTTGGAATCCTGAGGTTCTGAGTTCGAGCCCCACTCCCACAGACTGCCGCTCTGGCTCTCTGAGCAAGACCTTTAACCCCTGATTGCACCCCATGATGGCAGCCCACTGCTCCCCAAGGGGATGGGTTAAATGAGGAGGTAAATTTCTCCAGTGTGAGATCAATAAAGTTCCATTTTTGTTTTCAAATATACCTGTTTTAAGGCTTTGGTTAAAAATAAAAATGAAAAGTTAATTTGCAAAAACAGATACATGGTATCTTTGAAAGAAATTTGCTAAGGCATGTAATTTACTTTTCCTATGGTGCTGCTAATAAAAAGTATGTTTTTCTGCAAATTAACTCTTCAAATACTGAAAAAATACTTTGGACTGATAAATGCTAAATATATTTATTAATAATAATAAAAAAAAACTGAAAGAAATCTTCTTCTGCATCACAGGTCCTCTTTACCTGGTTACGGAGTACTGTCGTTATGGTGACCTAGTGGACTACCTGCATAGGAACAAGCACACCTTCCTCCATTACTATGCTGAGAAAAACCAGGACAGCGGCTGCATCATCTCCAGAGGAAGCACTCCTCTCAGCCAGAGAAAAGGGTGAGAGGAGCAGAGAAAATGTATTCAGAGCTACTCTGGAGTCACTGCTTGACTATCCATAAAGTTCTGCCATTGCAATTGTCCAAGACATATCAATACATTTTCCGCTTATTCCGTGACTGCAATTGTAACAGATTTTCTTGCACGCAAAGGGGGGGTGGGGGTAGGGGGTGGAGGGGTCTGCAAATAAGGTCATTTGGTCACTTGACTAATTTGGTGTCTACACATTATCTTTGTGCCCTCAGTTATGTGTCCTTTGGAAGCGAAAGCGATGGCGGGTACATGGACATGAGCAAAGACGAGCCTTCAATCTACGTGCCAATGCAGGAGCAACTGGACACCATCAAGTATGCAGACATTCAGCCATCTCCGTACGAATCCCCCTATCAGCAAGACCTCTACCAGGAACAAGGTGTGACTTCATCCCATACATGATTTCATTCAAGGAACTCTGGAGAGTATACTGTAGGAAATTATCAATTTTCCAGTTTCACAAAAGCAGAAGAGCATAAAGAATAACACATAATGGGGACAAAGAAAAGTGAAAAATTAGATAAATTACTTTGAAGAATATGAAATGGAGGCATCCAGTGACTTCCGCCTGCTTGTCATAGTCAAGGAATTTTATATTTATGCGTTAAGCAATGCAGCTAATTTTGGACCATATATACAAAGAGTAAAACAATCATAGAACCACATGAGCACCACATCATACACCACATTATATCACTGGACATCCCCATAATAGATCCAGTAACAAGTCCCCTTCTTTGATCTCCTCTTGATTATCCTGCTATGTTTCTCCTTAAGGTGGAGGCAGACTAGATCTGGTGATTAGCGACTCCCCCAACCTCACCTACGATGACCTGCTGGGCTTCAGCTACCAGGTGGCAAAAGGAATGGACTTCCTGGCTTCAAAGAATGTAGGATGTTGATCCTGATGATTTCAATGAAATTTTGAAAGTAAGGTCTGAAACCTGACCTGCTTTCAGATCAATGATAATTAAGAATTCATTAACTGATATTTCCATCACAGTGTGTCCATCGTGACCTGGCTGCCAGGAATGTATTAATCTGTGAAGGCAAGCTGGTGAAGATCTGCGACTTTGGCCTGGCCAGAGACATCATGCATGATTCCAACTACATCTCTAAAGGCAGCGTAAGTTGAAAATCATTGCTTTCTGCAATGTTTATTATTAGTGATGCAACAATCAGGCTTTTTCTTGAAGAATTGCTGAAGACTCATCTGCCAAAACAACGATGTGGGGGATTGCTGTAGACTAAATGAAAGCAAATATCCCTTTTTATTTAGATAGTTGCTAACAACATATATTTACCGCATGCTCATCCAGAAGGAGAGTCTCCTGCAAGTCAGTGACTTCAATGCAATCAGATGGTTTTTCTTTGTTAGAAAACCAACCTGACTGTATGATCTGATTGAAATGCCTTTATAAAGTGCCTTGTGATGTGATTTCTGAATTGGCCCAATATAAATAAAGTGAATTGAATTGAATCAATTACCTCAATTAACTTAAGGTAATTGAATCAATACTTAAATAAGAAATGTTTTTTTGAAATTACAAATTGTTTAAATTAATCAAACACGTCAAAAAATGATATTAACAAGCTCAATTATATGAAGACTCCCCCACTCATACTTATTTTTTCTCTTAGCAGGTTGCACCTTAAAAAGTTGCTTTTTATAGCCATAAAGAATTTTCTTGTACAAATCTAGCTCAGGGTGTTTTGACCTCTCTTTGTAGAATTGGTTGACATTTCAGCTTAGACTAAAAATGTTTAATATGGTTAAGGTCAGGGTCATTCCAGAGACTCCATATTAGCATGCTTCACACTTTTTGGATGTGTGTTTGGAATCAATGTTCTATTAAACCACTAAGCCGGGCCTGGGTTTCAACCATCTGACCTAAAATGCCTCACAGTGTAGCAGTCGTGGAAACCACCAGTGGCTACCATGAAATACGTTTAGCTTCAACATAGTGAACTGAAAAGGTCCTTACAAAAAGAAACTCAAAAACCCTGTTTAAAATCTGTACCTGCAAGCTCCACATGGACAAACCAAATGCCTTTTTTAGAAAAGATTTAACATTCAGAGGAGACTAAACTATTTTTTTTCCCCAAGGGATAACGGTCATATTGAGGTTTTAAGGTTAAACTCTCAGAAGATAAAACACAGTAACAACTGTCAATTGCAAATATTGCACAGAAAATATATCTATTTTCTGTGCAATATTTAGATATTAGATCAAATAGATATGTAATTCTGAGAAAAATGAAAAACAGCAAACAACTATGTCCATGTTGACCCTGTCATATTTCACTAAAATGAAGTGTGTATCTCTGTGCTTTTTCTTCATTCAGACATTCCTGCCCCTGAAGTGGATGGCACCGGAAAGTATTTTCCACAATTTATACACCACCCTGAGCGATGTTTGGTCATATGGCATCCTTCTTTGGGAAATTTTCACTCTTGGTCAGTTTGAACTTTATACAGTGTAAATTTGCACGAGCAGAACATGCAGAAAGAAACAAATAGTAAAAATGTCTTTGCATTCTTTAACTTTACCTGCAAAAGTTCTAGTCAGATCTGGGGGGGTTTTCTGTAATCAGCAATACATAAAACTCTAAAAAAAAAAAAAAAAAAAAGAATGTACATAGATAACTATTTGTTTGAAAACTCATATGAGGACTAAATCTTATTAGTCATAGTCAAGCACTGAAATCCTCATTTCCTTGCTTATTGTAAGTTTTTTTTTTTTTTTCTTAAACACTCTTCCCATGAAGTCTTGAAGCCACTGTAAAAACAGAGAAGACTGTTAGATTGGTTAAAAACATGCTCACAATCTGATCTCTGTGAGTCTCTGTGAGATCTCTGATCTCTGTGAGTCCAAAAGAAAGATCTTCTGTGCTGTCATGTCTCAGTACGGCTTACAATGCACTTTTAGGATCCCCTTTTGCCAATCACTTTTGCCAGAAATCCAACTTTAAAATATATATATTTTTAAAACCTGTCTGAATCCAGCTTTCCTGTTTATATATATTAAACTGTCCCTGCAGGAGGAACCCCTTACCCTGACTTGCCCATGAATGAAATCTTCTACAGTGCTTTGAAGCGAGGCTACAGGATGGGCAAGCCTGCCCACGCCTCTGATGAAGTGTGAGTCCACTTATCATTGTGTTGTCCTAAAAATCCTCCTCTCCCTGATTGAAACCCTATTTTATTTTGTTGATGTTGCAGGTATGAGATCATGAAGAAGTGCTGGGATGAGAAATTTGAGAAGAGGCCTGAGTTCTCACTGCTGGTGCACAATGTCGGAAACATGCTGATGGACAGCTACAAAAAGGTATCATTTATACCTACGATTAAAGGGGAGACACTGCGCTTATAGTTAGTTTTACTATATAATATATTTACCAACAAAGGTTTTACATAATACATAGAGTAAAATATCAATATCTTTAACTTGATGGCATCTAGTTTCATTCATCTGTTGTTAAGAGTCTGTTTTATAGTCAGTATTTTAGTTCACATTCCATGGACAGAAAAAAAAAGTTTTCCATGGTCATTTTTTTCTATTCTAAACAAAACAGTCTGCTTTTTATTATGTGATTGTATTTTATTAGAGAGAGACCGAAAGAACCAAAAATACTGAAAAAAAAAAGAATTTTAAATGAAAGTTTAAAAGGTGATTTTTAGTTTAATTTCCCTGCAAATATCCAATCCAATCCACTTTATTTATATAGCGCGATTTAAAAAAAACACAAGTTTTCCAAAGTGCTGCACAAAAAGATAAAATAACTAAAATAAATAAAAGTAAATAAAATAAAATAAAATAAAAGCACTGCCCGCACAGGATAAAAATATGCATGTGTATACATAAAATCAACATGTGTACATAAAATCAACACTCTACATGGTGTCAAAAGCCAAAGAAAAGAGGTGGGTTTTATATGTCTTATCTTAGTGAAGAAGTATTTCTTTCAACGATCTACAAGGAAGATGTTCCTTGTAGTTTGTCACCAGGTTTTCTTACTTCTAAGGCCAATTACAGTCTACTCCTCTAAACTCAAACAAAATGACGACTGACTGCCAAAAGAAAAAGTTGATGGAATTTCTCATATATTTCTCAGAACAAATAGTGGATGTTCTGGAATTGGTTTCTGCCATAGTCTACAGTCTGGCAGTCATGCAGTGGTTATTATAGTGATAGACACTGCAAAGATAATTTAGTTTTTCTATCTTCTTCGTCATAATTTCCCAACACTCTTTACAAGATTCAGTGGCTCAGTCATGGAATATAATACATCTATTGTGAGCATCAAGGGCAATGAAAGTCTGACAAACAGGTCCGATATATTACTGGTATGCAGACTTCCCAAGCATGGCGCTTATTATCCTAAGTAATGCAATTAAACAATCCCTTGCACACAATAATAATTGCAATGCGATATACTGTTTGCCTCAACTGCAGCATTTAACAGGATTTCACATCATGTCTTCAGACACAAAGCAGAGCAAAGAGAAACAATTTTTTTTTTTTTCTATGAAATGCAGAAAATAAAAACAGGTAGACAAGACAACATGATCCAGTCCAGAGGGGAAAAAAAACTACAAAATCTGCAAAACCTCTACAGGCGTAAAATTCATGTAACAGAATGTAAATCCAATTATCTGAAGATGAAGTCTGTGTTTGTGTTCAAACTGATAAATCTGATGAAGAGAATTGCCTTTACATACCAGAAAGTTAAACCATGATTAATACCTAATGAGAGAAAATTGAGGTCTACTTAAAGAACATGTAGAGTTTTTTTAAACCAAATTCAACATACGAGGAAGACTGTTTGAAAAACACGAGCCTCACTGCAAACATCACTTTTAACGCTGCAGATCAAGTTAATCATTGAGGTTTAAGTCAGTTTTTAGAATTAGATTTTATCCTGCCAAGGAGCACAGAGTGTTTTTTTCTGGAAATTATATTCTCTAAATCTTACATCCAGGAACAAACTTGAATTTCAACTGATTTATTGTCTAAAAAATTAAAGCAGTTCCAAGTATAAAACTTTAATCTTTAAAATTGGTCTTTTAACTTTTACTGTGTGATATTTTTTAGTTAGCCCCTTTAAAGTTTGAGAACGGCACAACAAGCTTTATAGGGAGAAATAGAGAAATAAGATGAATTACTACATATTGATTAACATTTAATTACGCACTCGTGCATGAGGAGGGCATGCAAGATCCCTGCAGAAAGAACTTAGACCGAGAACTGAACCCAGGATCTTCTTGCCGCAAGGCAACAGCGCGACAAGCCAACGTCTTCTAAAACCCCATATTTATTTTCTCATAATAAGAAAAACTCATTAACTGTCAAAAGTAATTAATGTTAGGGTAGGAAGTCATCATTCATTTGTGTTAAAAACTGTTTGATATAATGTCTGGTCCTCTGGGCTCAATGTTAGCAGCCCTCTGTATTATGCACTAGCTTGGCTTATAAATTCATTCATTGATTGATTGACTTTATTAATCACTCAGTGGAGAAATGTATTCATTACAGCAGCTCAAATAGACAAGGAAGAAAAATGTGCCATAGAAAGAAAAAGTTGCATGGATATATATAGTATATATATATATATACAGTCCACATATTACTTTTTTTTATGGTATGATCATTATACCGGGTTATACATCATAAGATGAATAAAAGAAAAAAACATTTTAAATAAGTAAAAATGTGACATTTTAAGTATTTATCATCTTTCATTCTACATGCATTAAAAGTTGCATTAAATAAATAGCTTTCTTGATATGTTTCCCCCCTTTCCGAACAGAGATACAACCAAGTGAATGAAAACTTCCTGAAGAGTGACCACCCTGCAGTGGCTCGCACCAAACCTCGACTCTCCTCGCCCTTTCCAGTCACCAACCATGCCTTCAGATCTCCCTCTCCCGTTACCTATCCCCTCTCGGGAGAACACAACCAGAGCCCGAGGCCTGGAGACGGCTGGCGAGAGGCAGACGGACAGGAAGCCATACCCTCGTACAACGAGTACATCATTCCGCTCCCTGACTTAAAGCCTGAGGAAGTTTTCACTGAAGTGGCGTCGGAGAGCCCAGTGAGGTACGGACCCCCCTGCTGGAATTAAACACAGGCCGAGGAAGGGTTGGATGTGTATTTTTTCTCTTTTCACCACACACCCACTCATCCAGATGTGGAGCTCAGACAGTAGTTGCATTATGAAGGTGGATTCAGAGATGTGTTTTTACAGCTTGTACAAACACGGAGCCAAGCAACGGCTTTACATGACAAATACATTTTTTAGCCACACAGATTTACGCTGGTCTGTAATTTCCCCTTTAAATACAGTGGCTGTCATATCTTATTATGAATTTCAACTGGAGAACCTAAACAGAGATATTTAAACAAAGATGTAGGTCTGAACATGTTTTCAGTTTTGAATTATTTGGAATTTACTTTGCTTATAAAATGGATCATGAGATCTACCATCAACTGTGTGGTTTGGGTTTAAGGCTGTGGGCCTCATAACTGGAAAAAACACAGACAAAGATTTGGTCTAAGGCTGTATTTTTAATACAGCCTGGATTAGTTTGATATGACAGAATTAAGTCAAAATGTTTCTTGTTAATTAAACAGAATTAACAGGAAACTGTCTGCTCTATGAATTAAAGTAGAAAAGTCTAATGTGCAAACAGAAAAGATATTTCTGAGTAAAATATGTGTTTACAGGCTAAATGAATTAGTTTGGAGACAGACATGATCCTTTGCTTCCTCATTTTCGCAAATCTGTGGGAATGCTTGTGTTTTTCCGTATGTTGACTCAGAAAATCTTATCACTTCCTGTGGTCGGATAAATGTCTAAAGTCTTAATTAATTCTAATTACACATTTTGCTACTGACGATGTTAGATACAGTTGCCAAATTTTAGCACTGGACTCCCTTGTCTTTTAATTGGTTTATTCCAGCTAGCCCCATGAAGAACATTCTGATTTAGAGTTTAAAAGGGTGGATTGAAAAAAATAAAAATAAAATGTTTTCCAAGAGAAATGCACACTTCTATAAAGTCATTGAAATAATTTTTCTTTCAGCTCTTTGGTTCTGGAAGAAGAAGCCGACTCCACGTCTCAGGACACGGCTGAAACACTTCCAGAGGAGGACAGGGTGGAGGACACCAGTGAGAGAGACGCTCTGCTGGGCTCCAATGGGACGCCTGAGGTAGAAGACAGTTTCCTGTAGCTCCTGATTGGAACACCGAGGAAAACAGAGCCTCTTTCTGTAGGCTGAGAAGAAACCCGACTAAAACTGAAATGTAGCAAAGAGACTGACTGAGAAGTAATCTCTGTAGATTCACTGAGCTCTCAAAAAGTGATTCCTCATTTGAGAACTTTTCCATTCTCTATACAGTCATAACAAATATGGTACAATCTTTCTCTCTGTTTTGGAGGTTTGCCAGACAATGAATGAAGTCACATTCCTACACAATCAGTTTAACCAAAGTAGTGATGGTGTTTACTGTAGCTCCCAGCTCTGTCAGATAGCTAAAAGGCCTTAGGAAGATCAGAATGTGTTTTATTATCACCGTAACTTGTCTCTTTGACTATGTTTGAGGATATATGTAATTTTTAAGAAGCATTTTTTAGGTTTCCCATAGAAAACTGATGAACGACAATGTCAAAGAAAGACAACCTGTCTAAAACAGAGCAATGTCTCTCAGCAGTGATTAACACTAATTCTAAAATATGATCAGATATAGACAGGTTTTTATCAAATAACACTTTTATCTGTATCCTTTTTCTTATATTAGGTAATATCAGGAGCCTTATTCATTTTGTTTGTAAAGTTTAATTCATAGGATGTGAAATGCAGAAACCTTGGTGCACTGTATGAAAGTGAAATCTGTTTTTTGTCCTTTTACTTTGGTATTTAGTGTATTTTTATGCCTGAGATTTTATCTTTACCTGAGATTTCTTTGTCATTTTTTTGGCTCATTTTATAGTTTTGTAACAGATTTGCACTTTATTTAGAGAAAATTAGGATATTTGTATCAACGATATAAAATGACTCTGTGAATGTTAGAAAGAGCCACTACAGCATAATCTGGGATTATTAGATTGATCTAAATCCAATCTGATATCAGTAAAAACAGGGAAACACTCCAGCAGCATTTCACTGCCTTAGCACAAGGTGGCACACATGAGAGTCATTGTACTGACTTTTTAGTTATAGCTTTCATAGAGGGTTGCTTTAATGTATGGTGGATATAGTGTATTATATTCTTAAAATACCAGATTAATAAAGAACTTTAGAGCTTTTTTCAGCTTATTATTGAAAAATATCCATTATTCAACTAGAAAACAAGAGGAAAAGGAAATAAAAGAATAAAAGACTTAATGATCTGGTTGCATAAACTTAAGCACATTTAAACTCTGGAGACATGTTTATTTGTTTTCAATTTGAGCCGTCCAGCTTCAGGGATTCATCCCGGCCATTTTTCATAGAGTTGAGCTCTCCCAGTGCAGTTTGCGAGTTTGCATGCTTTAATTTAGAGAAAGGATACAAACAATTAAATTTATCTCTTTATAAAAAGTCATTTCAGGAGAAATCTAGGAGATATCCTATAATTAGAATAAAAGGCACAGAGACTGGTCATGGAGGCAAACAAGAGAGAAGAACATGTATTTCAAGTAAGCACTGGTTGCTTTTAACATGTGAAAACTCTGCTGTATTCTCTATATGTCTCCATATAATGACTTTGAAGTAGTTTGAGATAAGGCCTTTTTTACTTCAAAATGAAAACACATTAACCTGACTAGAATTTCCCAAAGCCTTGCTCTAGATTTACTGATGGCTTCTTGAAACCCAACCTAACCTTCTGGTCACAATTACATAAAGTAAGTGTCTTTTCACAAAAGAAAACAAACAAGCAAGAAAATTGATGAACATCATGCACACTATAAAACATAGTGGTGGCAGCATTATGTGCTGCGATTACATTTCTTGAAGCAAAGTTTTTCAGTTCAAATATAACATCTTAAAAAGTTCTAAACAGAGATTTTATTTCCCATCATAAATCCTTGCTAGATGGTAATAAAAAAATAGAAAAATGCAGAGAGACTTTAAAAATAAAAACTACAAATTAAGGATGTGTGACGATGACTAACAAAGAAGACTCCATACTGGCATAAAATCAGAAGATACTCAAAGTAATGCAACACCTATGCAACCAGGTTCTTAGGGGTCTTTTATTTTTATTTTCATTTTTTTTTTTGTGCTTCTTTGTGGATTATACAGAAGGTGGAAAAAGGGATAAAATATTTTTTCATGCCCTATTTTTTTGTGTGTGTCATAAAAGGATGGCATTTATACACTGGTGAGTAGAAACCATTAGATGACAAACCAATGTGCACATGTAAACCAAGTGTATCTTGTTGCTTTGTGTCACTTTTCTTTTATAGTTTTATAACTCTGTACTTTACATGGCCTTTAAAAAGAACACCTCCTTATTTCCTGACAGTGCAAAAGGCACACAATCACTCTGCCACAAGCTATATGGTACCAAAGCTCTTGTTAACTTTTATAAATGTATTTTTATATGTGTTGTTTTTTTATGCTGTAAATGTGTCAATAAATCAGTAATAGCACAATATTTTTGATTTTCTGGAGTCTTTAATGGGAAGTTAACAGCATTTGTCAATGGTCAAAAGAACACTGTAAATCAAGCTGGTTTTCTAAACAATATCTGGTATTCTGTCCACTCCATTTTTGCAATTTCTTAAAATTCCGGATCAGTTCATTTCCATAGAATGTTAAGAGATTTAGTGTTTAGGATTACTTTTGTGTCTTTTTTTGTTTCTTGTTATTGAATGCTAAATGTAATGGCTCAGAAAGTAGAACTCAGAATTCAGGAGAGAGCCTAGAAGGGTGCAGAGCTGACAGGAGATCAGATCCAAGCTGACGAAGGAAGGCAAGATAATCAACAGGGCAAAGTCAATAGAGAGATCAAGCCACGCTAGCTACCGTTCATTCATCCTCTCCGCTGAACTGCTGCTAGTTTTACTCACATGCCTGAAAGATGTCTATTGCTACTACAACAGATGATCTCGCTCTCGAAATGGAATGGAACGATTCAGATTAGCTAACCGAATGAATATAAGGAGTAGAGCGTAGCCGCCTGTGGCCCGGGCTTCCTGTCACAACTCCAGTCCGGCGCGCGGATGACATCATATACACTCCGCTTTGTTTTAAAAAAATATAACCGCGGATGTGTGGGGGAAAGTGATTCGCCTACATGTTATGAATGCTGACGTACCATAAGGAATAAATTGCGAACAGTTTAGTTTGTGCCTTCAACTTGTTGCCCATAGGAAGACTAGGAAGACTTACTTGGATATTACAAAACCGAATATCTTCAGAACAGCTCCAAATAACACAAAACTAATATGGGTGAGTAGAATATGATGTAATAACGTAAAATCAAGGGCCCAATGTAAAAAAACAGTGTTCCCCTTTAACGTAAAAAAAACATACAATTGTGTAGGAATAAACATAAAACATAAACACAAATATGTTGGCTTTTCAACAAATGTACTGTAAAAAGGAGAGCACAATCTAATGGAATTCGCATGGAAGAAAAAGCTTATTATGTGTTCCACATGTGAAAAATATACGATCACAAGTTCTAAATTAAAAGTTGAATGGAACATGGATTACATGAAGAAAATGCTTGATCATATGAGGAGAATGTGACCCACATGTGGAAAATGGATATCAAATGTGAAATTCATGGGAGTTTCATCTAAAAGATGGAAAATCCATGCGAACACATTGAATTTGTGTTTTTTCCTGTAAGCGAGGGTCAGGTAGGCTTGTTTCTCTGGTTTACATGTATTTTATGGATTTGGAGAAGACTTAACAGCCATGTCCCCTGAAGCATTGTATGTTGGGCTGCTTCAGGTGTAGGGGTTCTGGTGATGCTTTAAAGGCTATTATCAACCTTATATAAACAGGGCAAAAGTTTTGTCCATGTTCTTGGTACAAAGTACAGGTTGTTTGAAGTTGTTACCATATTTCCATTATTCTGTTTATGTTTTCAATTGATATGATTTTAATTTATTTGTACTTTCTAGTGGCCACAGTGTTTTCATCTTGGCGCTGATGACTGGTTTGATTACTCATTTCACTCTCCTGCTTATCCCTGCCCAGTTTTCATTACCTCTCATCTGATCCAACTGCTCCAGCCTCTATTTAACCAGCTTTCAACCAATCATCAGTGCTTGATCGTTCGAGCCCTTAGCGAGAGTTTTCGAGCATATCTAGTTGTTTCTGATGGCCTGATCCTTACCCGTTCTACCTCTGAACCTCTGATTCTCCCCGCTCCCTGATCTGTTTGTCTGACCTGTCTTTGGACTCCTGCTGGATTCTGCCTGTTTATCGACCCTGGAAGAGATTCCTGACACCGTCCTGGATTCCCCTTTGGTATCTCTTTAGATCTCTGATTTTCTAGCCCTGACTCCTGAGCATGTACTTAACACTGTCCTTGGCTTCGCCCTCTGGATTATCCTGCCTTCCTTGTCTGCTCGATTCTGCTCTCCTGCCTGTCCTCCGACCTCCGAGACTTCAGCGTCTAGGACTTTCTGGGCGGCACCTGCTGCATTTTTTTGGCAGCCGACCGCTTGGAACCAACCTCTTCCTCTAGGCTCGTACTGAACTATAAGACCAGGTTAGTGACTCACATGTTTATTATCATTACCCGCCACATAGAGGTGGTCACTAACCAGTGTTCTCCTCCTGCAGAGTTTCCTGCTTTAGACGTTGTTGCTATTTTCCATTACACATCATAAATAAACACTTTGTTAATCCCTACTTTCTCTCCGCCATGGGTCCTCTTGTTCAGGGCCTGACCTTTCACTTACCTGAGGGATTGGTTCAGAGTCAACAACACCAAGCAAACAAATGTTCACCGTCGCTACTGGCTCATCCAGAAGGAGCTGATTATGCAAAGTCAATGATTCAATGCAAAGATTTTCTTTAGTAGAAAACATTCAACCAATCGGTAAAATATCAAACTGTCTTTGTAAATTGTACTGAGATGGTATTCTGTAAATTTATTGTTTACTTTATCAAGAAGGAGACATATGAGATTTTTTAGGCTTTTGATCGTTCTATTCAAATACCCGCTGATGAGACAGATGTCTGGGTTTCGTTATCACCCCCATCAACATCCAGCAGATGACTGAAGGGAAAAATTTTTAATTTTAGTTTGACAGGTAAAATTTATTTAAATTGTGTAAATTATATGAGTCCAACAGTAGGTTGGAATAAACTAGTTTACTTTAACCACAGTTTGAGTTTCATTCACACTTCAGCATACCTTATAATGACCCATATTGTGAATTGGTACAAAGCAGATGGAATAAACTGAATAAAATTTTCTAAGGAGATCAGTTTTGTTTGTTTTTTATACTTTTATGTCACCAATCCATCACTATCCCCCTCTTCTAATATCAATTCCCAAAAAAAGCCTTAAAGCCACAGGTCAGCACAGATAGAGATCCCACCTCTAAATTTGAAATGCCTCATTAAGTTGTCAAGCAGGCTAAGTTGAACCGCCTCCTCCTTGACACATGCACAGTTCTCTCCACCCTTCAGCCCTCACTCACTGATGTTTGCTGTCTGACTGTAAACAAGAACAAGGGAGTAATAAGGACACGGACAAACAGAGAGGGAAGAAGGGAGTTTTGTGTCCACATTTGGATGGTGGGAACTTCAGAATCCCAGGGACGTTTTTGCATCTCTATTTTAAGCTGAAGACAACTAGAGGTGAGACATAATTTATCATTCTATGATGGAAGATTTGCTTCTTTTTTGTTGGCTAATAATTGGCAATAAAAGTCTTTCTCACAAATTTAAACTTCTCTCAGTGGTTAGGATAGAGAAGTAAAAGAAGGGATGCAGACATAACAAAACTTCCTGAGACAGTTTTCCATTTCTCTGTCTTTCTCTAAAACACAACAGATTTTAAAACACAACAGATTAAATACAAAGTGCTTAGAAGCTAGTATTTGTTTTTAATCAGCAGGTCTGGAGTTTATCCATGATGGAGTCCTTCCTCACACTGCTGCTGGCACTTGTGGCCTCTGCAGCTTCAGGTAAGACAAAGCAAACCCTGCAAAGATAAATCTTTGATCTTTTTTGCTCTCCTAGTTTAATTCCTGTTCCTGAAGCGTGAGGTGTGTATTACATTCTTAAGATAAGGAAGATCTTAATAAACTAAAAAAAAAAGAATGGTTTCATATGATATTTTGTTAAATGCATAAATAAAGTATTTTCCATGAGAACATTTTACTGCATTCATTAGTGGCTTGCCGAGTTGGTGCACAATACTGAGTCTAATGAGCAGAACAATCAACAAGAACATCATGAGTTGTTTGTGGGGTCATTCTTCAAATTGTTTCTCTCTTTTTTTCCTGCTGAATTTGAAAACAGCTTTGACTGGGATAAATGATTATCACCCACTAGCTATTATTTTGTGTCTTTAAAGTGCTTAAATTTAAACATGCGAAATCATCTAATTTTGGTCTGATTGGAGGCGGAATGGATTAGTTTTGCTTGCTCTTTTGCCACTTTATGAGATCTAATTGGGGTTATTTTCAGCTTGGATAAAAAAGTTCACTCACTTGAACAAAAGACAGATGGGACCAGAGAGGCAGCTGATTGCAAACACACGGAGGTTAAGCAAGGAACTGCTGATTGGCGTTAAACAACGTCTAAATCCCAGTTACTGTGAGAAATATTGTGGTGAAAAGAGAAAATGCTGAACCTGGAATCTCAGTTCTCCTTTGAGATTCATAAGAGGGTTCTAAAAGGAAATTTGGAAGCGATACTGAAAATAAAAAGACAGATAACAGAGTGAGAAAAACAGTGACAGAATCACTTACAGCCATAATACTCACCTGTTGATATCTGATAGAGGTTACACTAAAGCCATAGAATAAATGACTGATCTTCACGATAAATACTGTTTATTTGTGATGGCTCACTTTTAACAGTGAGACATTCAAAAACCTCAGAGTATCACTATTACACTTTTTATGTCTGAATTCCTTAAAGTTGTTCCTTGTACTCTTTTTTGTCTTAAGGATATATACATCAATACAACAGCAAGAGGCCTGGAATCAGTTTTGATATTTTTATGAAAAGCAGAAGTGAGAATTTAGCAAAAAGGAGATATAACTTCCAAAATAAGTCTGACTCATTTATCAGACATATGGATTAACAGACTAAAACACATACTAAATCTTGATTGATCTGAAGAAATATATGTTTTCTTTTTCTAAAACAGTGGAATGGAGGCGTCCAATAATCAAAGTCAATTCCAAGGTGGTGACAAACCCTGAGGCGGTGGTTAGGGTTGGCAGGCCTCTGGATCTGAGGTGTGAGGGCAACGGTCCTGTGAGCTGGCAACCCAGGCTTGCCAAACACAGGCGCTTTATGTCTAGAAGCAGTGGGAACGTCCGCATCTTCAGGGTGGAACGGCCTTCGGCAGAATTCACCGGAACATACAAGTGCTTCTACACTGCCGGACCCAAATCCAGTGATCTGGCCTCCTCATTGCATGTATATGTAAAAGGTGAGTAGGATCAGTTAAGGTGTGTTTTATGCTAACTATTTAGTGATTATCTAGGATAATTTCTCACATTATTATGTCCATTTTAGACCCCCTGCGAGTGTTTTGGACCAGTAGCACATCTCTCCGTGTGGTAAGGAAGGAGGGTGAGAACTTCCTGCTACCCTGCCTGCTAACAGACCCCTCAGCCACTGATTTGGGCCTTCGCATGGACAACGGCACGTCCGTGCCACCGGGAATGAACTTCACTGTGGACAGGCACCGTGGCATCTTAATCCACAACCTCCACCCAAGCTTCAATGCCGATTACGTTTGTACGGCTAAAGTCAATGGACAGGAAAGAACCTCTAGGGCCTTTTCCATCAACGTCATTCAGAGTAAGATCACTTTGCCATACAAAACTGATACACCAAAAACTTTTAAATATCAAATAGCCAAATATTTTCTTCTTGCTCTAGAGCTGCGCTTTCCTCCATATGTCTTCTTGGAGACTGATGAATATATACGAATAGTTGGGGAAGAAATTAAGATTCGCTGCACGACACACAATCCAAACTTTAACTACAACGTCACGTGGAAATATACCACCAAATCGGTCAGTGAGAGTCTTTCTTGAAGACTTGTCTGTAGCATTAATCCAGACTTTGGCTCAGTATTTATCTCTCATCACAGAACCCAACAATAGAGGAGACTGTTCGCTCCAATGGAGAGAATCGTTTGGATATCCAGAGCATCCTTACGATCCCTGCGGTTGACCTCGCAGACACAGGAAACATCTCCTGCATTGGTACAAATGAAGCCGGAGTGAACAGTACGACTACTTACCTGCTGGTTGTGGGTAAGAAACAAACTAGTTACATCTTCTATGATTAAACTTTGACATACATAAAGTGTTGTGACTTTTCTGAACTTTTCATATGTCAAACAGACAAGCCCTACATCAGGTTGCTTCCCCAACTCTCACCCAAACTGGCCCCAAAGGGTCTTTCTGTTGTGGTCAACGAGGGAGAGGACTTGGAGCTCAGCTTGCTCATTGAAGCCTACCCTCATATCACGGAGCATAGATGGCTGACTCCAACACCTCCGAACAAATCCTCACAGGAGCACAAGTTCATCCGATACAACAACAGGTACAGTTTGTTTTGTAAGCCCTGCATGTAAAAGACAGCATCATCCAGCTGCTAGATTGTAACATATCTGTGAAGGTTCTCAGACATCCAGATCATGGTCAAGCTTATAAAAGATCAGTTTAGGCAACTGGACATGAAGTTTGCTAGAAGATGTTTCGACCTCTCATCCAAGAGGCTTCTTCAGTTCTAACTAGTGGTGGGGAGCACTGAGATCAATACTCTGTAGGTCTAACTTCTGCTAGATTGTAGTGCAGAAGAGGAAGTTGTTCTGAAATGCTGTCACTGCATTTTTGTAAATTTGACAGGGAACATGAAGGTCATCACATCTCCGCTCAGGTCAAAAAAACTGCTAAAGGGAAGAGCAATGTCCTGTTTTTAAGTTTGGACTTAGGAGTGATACATAGAAACTGTCTGAATACAAACCACAGAATTAGTCACTTCTTCTTACTTGCTCCATAAATATTTCTTTGTTCTGAGTTATAAAATCTGTTTTTTTGTCCGTTATTAGATACCATGCAACCCTGCAGCTGAAAAGAATGAACATACAGGAGCAGGGCCAATATACTTTCTATGCAAGGAGTAATTCAACCAATGCATCCATCTCATTTCAAGTCCAAATGTATCGTAAGTCAGACAAACTCATCTGTCTTTTTCTTGAATTAATAAAGGGATGTATTTTACCTTGACTGTTGGAGAGATGTTAAAGCTACTGAGCCCTGCTAATGTCAATAGAGATTTATTATATTTCTTTAACATACCTTAAGGAGATTCCCAGGGTTTTTGATACCTTTCAAAAGATATCTTTCAGCAAAACGTCTAAAAAAGTCTAGACAGAAGACAAAGCACAGACACCCCCAAGACTTTTATAAATAACAAGAAATATAAATACATGCTATTTATATATGTGCTGCATATTTTTTTCTTAAGAATGATCATAAGAATGATACAGCGATCTCACCCTAGAATCTTAGGTTCAGCCATACAACCTCTATACAAACAGTTATCCTTGCAGGATAAGAATCTGCTAGTGGCAAAGGCAGGGAACACCCTGGATAGTTTGCAAGTTTATCATAAACGAGCACAGAGACAAACTGGACAAACAACCATGCAATTATACTCTCATGTAAGAGCAGTTCAGAGAAACCATTTAGCAATTGCCATGTTTTTTGAAGAGTCAGAGATACTGATTTTAACTTGAAAGAGTCATGCATCCAAGCGTGGAGAGAACATTTTAATTCTATCCATCAAGAGCTCTGACCAGGGTTGGAGCCAATTATCTTTTTGAAGAAAGGCATCATGGCTCTAATGCTTCAAAAAACATTGGCCAGTTTTTGTGAGATCCTAGGTTTTGTTTCATTAAAGTACCTTTTATCAATTCTCAATTTATCAAAATCATGTTTATTTATCTCTGTTTAATCACTGCTAGAGCGACCTAACGCGGTTGTTAGATGGGAAAATGTAACCACTCTGACTTGCACCTCATTTGGCTATCCGGCTCCAAGGATTATCTGGTATCAGTGTGTGGGAATACGACCCACGTGAGTAAAACCTGAATGTAATGTCTGTTAAGCTTGCACTCAATTCACCCAGAAAATTAGACATTAAGATTATTATCTTTCTCTGACTGGTTAAGGTGCAATGAAAACACCTCAGGGTTGCAGTTGGCCATCCCTCTCAAGGCTCCCACTGTGGAAGTCCAGAGAGAAGAGTACGGCGCTGTGGAGGTGGAGAGTGTCCTTACGGTTGGACCTTCCAGCCAGAGGATGACTGTGGAGTGCGTAGCCTTCAATCTTGTTGGTGTGAGTCGAGATACACTCGCCATGGAAGTTTCTGGTGAGGATCTTAACAAATGCAATCACAGTTTTCCACCATGCCTGTTACAACACTTAAGGATTAATATATATTGTCCTCTGATCTGACAGACAAGCTCTTCACCACCACCCTGAGTGGAGCGGCAGGCATTCTGGCAATCCTCCTGCTGCTGCTGGTTATTCTGCTTTACAAATACAAGCAGGTAAATAAAATTCACGTAAATACTGAAAACTATTTGAAGGACTACAAGAAGAGCTGTTTTCTGATTTTTATTTACAGAAACCTCGTTATGAAATCCGTTGGAAGATCATTGAGGCGAGGGATGGCAACAACTACACTTTCATCGATCCCACGCAGCTGCCGTACAACGAGAAGTTGGAGTTCCCAAGAGACAAGCTCAAACTAGGTTATAAACATGATCTTTAAATAAGAACAGTCTTCTAATTTCTTATTGATTATCATTTAACTGAAATCAATTAGAATTTTATTAAGAGTATCTAGAAAAAAATAGACCAAGTATCATCTTTTAAAGCACTTTAGATATTTATTTTATATGGAAATCAAATCAGAGTTACGTTAATTTAGATTAATCCAGTTCGTTCCTATCCAATCTAATTATAGTCAGTTTCAAACACTCTATACATATATTCCAATTTATTTTAATTTTACAATGTAAAAGGGATTAAAAGGGAGTGATACTAAAGAATTAAACTCCTGCCCGTTCCAGCTTAGCCTAAAGCAAAGGGCTGGCTAAAGATAAAGACAATTCCCTGATCAACACAACAAAAAGCACTAAAATATTTTTCCCCATATGCTTTGTCTCCTGACAGGAAAGATTTTAGGTGCAGGTGCATTTGGAAAAGTTGTTGAAGCAACTGCTTATGGTCTGGGAGAGGAGGACAATGTCATACGTGTGGCTGTGAAAATGTTAAAAGGTGATTTTATTTTATTTTTTGTATTATAGTATTTTATTGAAAGTAACCCCCCCCCCCAAAAAAAACCTTAAATAACATATATTTTCTATGGCCTATGCAATGTATGTGTAGCCTGTGCACACTCAGATGAGAAGGAGGCTCTAATGTCTGAGCTGAAGATCCTGAGTCACCTGGGGCACCACAAAAACATTGTCAATCTGCTCGGGGCCTGCACTTATGGAGGTCAGATGGCATGAAAAATTCTCATGAAACTTTGTTGAATCCATGCAAAATCAAGTGTAAATTGTATTAAAAGTGTATTTCCTTTTCAGGACCAGTACTTGTGATCACTGAGTACTGCAGCCTGGGTGATCTGCTGAACTTCCTACGCCAAAAGGCTGAGACTTTCGTAAACTTCGTCATGAGTATTCCCGACATCAGCGAGAGCTGCAACGATTATAAAAACATTTGTGTTCAGAAAAAATTTATCCGAAGGTTCGTCATCAAACGTTGAACATCTGCACAGGTTTAAAAATAAGAAAAGGAAAACATACTTATTGTGATAAATCATTTAACAGTGACAGTGGGATCTCCAGTGTGGCCTCAAGCACTTACCTGGAGATGAGACCTTGTCAGTTGCCTAATGCAGAACAATCTCAAGGTACACACAGCGCCAATCATGGATTTATGCACCAGAAAATATAGGATAACTCATTTACCCTTTTTTTCTGCTTCTTGTCTATTTTTAGACTGCGAGGAAACTGGTGACTGGCCACTGGACATGGATGACCTGCTGAGATTCTCCCTTCAAGTCGCGCAAGGCCTTGATTTTCTTGCAGCTAGAAATGTAAGAATATACAAAATCTATATTAGAAAATACTTCTATAAAAATATTTAGAAGCGAATGCTTTTCTATTCCTGGAAAGGGAAGCAGATAGCATACGTAGAAGACATTTCCAACAATGATCATTTCACTATAAAAGGTAGCATGGGAAATCATTCATGGGATATTAGAATGGGAATTTCCCTCTGTGAATATTTACTGATAATAGTGTAATGCTTTTTATTAAAAAATATTCTATATTTAGAAACACACTAATCTGATTTTTTTTATGATGTAAGACTTACAACTAAACACAAACTGTGTGGCTTTGTCTTCAGTGTATCCACAGAGATGTCGCGGCGAGGAATGTCCTCCTGACCAACCGCAGGGAGGCGAAGATTTGTGACTTTGGTTTGGCCCGAGACATCATGAATGACTCCAACTATGTCGTGAAAGGCAATGTAAGAACTTGAGTAGTTGACTGCTAACTTTGATTCAAAAATCAATGCAGGCTTAGACCACTATGAGAGTCCCCCAGCATGGTAACCTTCAGTAACATATAGAATTCTTATGATATCACGGCTTTTATGAGTTTAAATAATAATGAGTATGATTTGAGACGCAGACTAAAACAAAAGGGTCAAACCCATCAGCTAAATCTTATACTGGCTTTAAAATTTTTATTTTATAGAATATAGTATGTTTATTAAGTTAATTTTTCAACTCAACCCCTAATCCCAATCTGAACTACGCGCCAGGCAAGTTTTTTTCTGGTAAAGACTAGATGCCAGAATAATGTCAGAACAGACAAACAAGACATAAAAGATTTATCTGCTTTGTTTGCCAGCTGTCAAGCAGTGCAATGACAGATAAAAAAGTTTGAGTAAAAATGCAGAAGAAATTATAGACATAACTATGGTCTGCTGGATTAAATCCAGAATACATCCTTTTACAAGAGACATTAAGATTTGCAAAAATAACTCTGGATATTTGATTATTACACAATTACACAACTGAAATCAAACTTTAATAAAGTCTTGAGAGAATTTATTCATGTCCATTGATGTTAAAATCTAGTTTTAGGTCTGATTTAATTACACAATAATAGTTATGACATAACTTTATTAATGACACAATTTTATGAAATAAAAATATATTAAAACAAGCAATAGAGAAACTTGACCAGATGTATTTGCAAATAAATAAATACAAATTCAACAAGATAGAAGATAGATAAATAATATCAATAAAACCGAATGCAGCTGGGTTAAGATAAATAGAAATACAACACAATCCATAAACTCCACTGAAGTTTTATGTTTTGTTGAAAGAAAAACTAAGGAAAATTGACCTCTAGTCAGACAGTGTTTTTAGGTATTATCTGATGAAAACCACTGATGAATGCCAAATGCTGCAAAGAAAACATCCATGTTTGTGCTCTGATCACCTCACCGTGAGCCATTTTAGACATGCCAACGACTGGATCTGATGACTTAAGTTAACATCTTCAAGCTGTGGATACCAATCTCTTTCTTCTATGTTGATTATTTGCTTAGAAGCATCAAAAACAGACAGCCACATGAATGATGATGCATGAACATAACGGCTTTTCCTTATCCTCTGATTCCTCTGTTCTTGCTTTTAATTTCTTCTTCAAGTAAGCAGAAGTTGTAATATTTAAAACGTGTCTTCACCTTTTTTATTTCCTTTAATTTTAACTGGATTTTTCTTTCAATTGACCAATTCATTCTTAACTCATAACGAAAAAGCTCTAGGATACAAGGATTACATTTCAGGGGTTTTGACACACAACAGACAAGTGAAGAAATTACAAATAAGATGGGATCTTTAGGCTCTGTTATTCCTCTATAGTAGGTCTAAAGGCATAAAGCGAGAAAGTTGTGAGGTTGAGCTACAGAGTGCTGTTCTAAGGGCTCATACCCTCACTTGGAACGAAAAATGTAAGAGAAAATACATTTTCACATGATGAGCAAACTGTGAATTATTACAAATAGGCTGCCTAACATTTTTAAACTTTAGAAATGCTCATCTTTCCAAGTGGTTAAAATTCAAAAGGGTCCAGAAAGCATTTTTTTTACTTTGAAAGTTAAGCTTTTAGTCTGCAGAACAGCACCAGGGCATTGTCAGTAGATCAGTCTGTTGATCTCCATGCTGTGTGGACTAAAACGGCAAGATTAAACTCAAATGAAAAAACAGGACAAACGAGAGAATTTAATATTCCTAACAGCAGTTTGTCAAAAAGTGCATCGAAATGAAACAAGAACAATCTCACCAAAGCTGCCTGACATCTAATGGAAAGTGTTTGATAAAATAAATGTTTAGTCTTCACTACAATGGTTTTTACATCCCCTGACATGCAAAAGTTGATTTAAACTAAGCCAGAGATTAGAAAACATGATGCCGGAATGAATTACAGAGAGAATCGGCAAGCAGCTTGATTTAAAAATGTTCAAATCTCAGTTTTATCCAGTCAAGGATAAAAAATAATTTTTTTTAAAAAGTCAAATTACTTAGGCAATTTTCCAGTTTTTTTAGATATTTTAGACCAAATCTGATCAAATATTACAAATTTTGTTTTATCTATATTTAACAAAGAAACGTAGGTACAAAGAAACCATATCTATAAAATAGATGCATAATTTTGTCTCACTCTCTAGTTTATTTCCCCTTATTTTCCCTAATAATCCTTAATTCCTTTCGATGCAGGATTACCAAATTGTTTCTGATTGCTGAATCCCAAATTAATTAAAAAATAAGTTGTGAGATTTATTTACCTTCTTTATATTCAGAGGCTTAAAAAATCTGTTTCTTTGATTTTGAAATCCATACTTTTTTAACTGTATAACTTAAATTAAGAATTGTATTTTTCTTTTAAAAGCTGCCGGCAGATGGGACAGTCGCTCTGTAAGCTAACTTGCTTAGGACATTTTTTTTTTTTTGGCTCTAGATCATGGCTTTGTGGTGAACACTGACCTTGCTGTGTTTAAGGATCTCTGTAACTGATTTGGTTAAATTCTTGGGGAGATTTTCCATTGGAAGAATCATTAGTACCAAAGTTTCCGCTCCCTGCTTGATGTTGTTGGATGTTCTTCCAGTATTTCAAGATTGTTTTTCCTCATTTTTCCTAATTAGAGGTTTTGGAATGTCACCACATTACTATCCATGTTTTTAAATTACCCCGACCTTAAGCAAAGCAAGTTTTGATAATTCTGACTGATTCAAACCCAAAAACCTTCCCTCTAAAGTGTGTTTAAACATCTGTTTTGACTTTTAAGATGAATTTATTTAATATTTCTAAGTTGTTTAAAGGGATTATATTTTGTGTGTATTAAGGCCCGTCTGCCTGTGAAGTGGATGGCCCCAGAGAGCATCTTTGACTGTGTCTATACCGTGCAGAGTGACGTCTGGTCCTACGGTATCCTCTTATGGGAGATTTTCTCTTTGGGTAAGAATAATCTCAACAGTTTCATTGCTTTGACCTATTAGTTCATGATGTACCTGCAGCAATGATAATCTTTCTGGTTTTACTCCAGGTCAGAGTCCATATCCCAGCATGGCAGTGGACTCCAGGTTCTACAAGATGGTGAAGCGTGGTTACCAGATGTCGCAGCCTGACTTTGCTCCCCTTGAAATGTAAGCTTTGCAGCTTATCTACACTTCTGCCCTCAGCAACCAGCTGAGTGCCTCCTTTACACGTTCCATCCATAAAGCTCTGCCTAGCATGGCTTCATTATCAGATGAAATTTAGTGGAGCATCAGGTGATTATCAGCAGGGGTTTTACAATTAACCCAGACTTAATATTTGCCTCCCGGCATGTAGATGTAAGAGCTGTAGTCATTTAGCTTGCTGTGCTTTATATATATTTTATGAAATAACATGCAAGGGGCTCTTTAAGCTGATAATATTTTGGCTGATGATTATTTATAAGATGAGTAGAGCATCACAGATAAAGCACCCGGCTGCAGCAGTGTTTATCACAGCCAAACAAAAAGAGGCCTTTTCCTCTACTCTGATGTCCTCAGGCCTATCTCATATCTGAGATGCTGATTTTAGAGATAAGCAGATGAAGAGCTGCCATTAGTTAGTTAAAACTGCAAAGTCTAGAAGTGAAAAACGAAATGTTTTCTGCCCTGCGTCTCGGGGTTGGAGGAGCTGCAACATCTGTGTGCACCGATTTAGCACGGCTGTCACACGAGGCAGAATCGCTGAGCTGTGGAAATTGAGGGTACTGAATCAGAGTCAGGGCCTGATCATCTGTTGTCCTGTTGTGAGTCAGGCCTCGGTTCTGCCTGTTAGCCACATGATCCCAGAGCCAGGAAGCCGTGTAACTCGCTTTTTCATGGCCTCAAAATGGGATTCAAGGGTTGATGATTCTTATGAACAAGCCTCTCTTATCAAACTGCGTCACCACCTACCCTGCCCTTCTAGTTTGTTCCCTGAGTTGGCTTTATTGCGTACCACTGACAGGATGCTATGACCCCCTATTTGTGTCCTGGTTCATTTCAGGTATGCCATCATGAAAATGTGCTGGAATCTGGAGCCTACAAAGCGTCCAACCTTTAGCAAAATCTCACAGATGATAGAAAAACTACTCGGCGGCCATTTTGAGCAGGGGCAGGTGAGTTAATGTTGAATCAAATCTGTGAACAAACGGAAACCATGTGATGCTCCAGACAGACTTTTTTATTTCCAAGTTTTGAGCTATATCCTAATTCATCAGGTTAGTTGTTACCGGTGCCTTCTCTCCAACGATCACAAAAAATAATTAAAAATAAAACATTTTAAAGTGAAGCTGGGGAAACAAACAGTTTATTTGCACCTCTGATAATTTGTGTCTCATCAATTCTCACATTTATTTTGTTTTCAAACTTAAAACAATCACATAGACAAATAAAGTTAAGGGAAATAAAATGGTTTGATCACTGTAACTAGTCTGCAAAGCCATTACTAAGCATATTGGATTCAACTGATCCTTGATATACACCCATTGCCCACAAATAAAGAAAAAAAAAATCGAATATGGTGAATTTTTTCTGTAGCGGCCCACCAACCCAAACAGACGGGGCATTAAAAAACAAAAACAGCATCTAAATCTCGGCTTCCATTGGGTAGGTCACACTGCAACACTTCATTCGACAATAGAGTGGCACCCATGGACAAGTTCACAGGTAGAAAAAAAACAAATACTGACTTAAAACAAAAAGAAGATCCATCTCACATTTATTATCACCAAGATTATTAGGAAAATGATAACAGGACCAAAAAGAAAAAAAACACCAATATGGAAATAAATATAAGAACAAAGGCCAATATGGAAGTGTCTGGAAGGTGTGTGTGCTATTATAGCTATCATTAATATAACACATCTTTTTAGGAAAATAAAATAATAGCAACATTTAATCCTGTTGGTGGAGGTTTGATGTTATAGAGCAGATTTAGTGCTTCAACTCTTCTTAGAGTCTATGACCTCTTCTCTGATCCAGGAAACCCTAACAGATAGTCATATCTGTATTTATTTATATAACAATACCATCCATTCTTGCTCTCAAACTAAAACAACATTGATTTTTCTGTAGGGCAAAGATCCAAAGAACACCCGGTCCTATCGTATTTTTTATCAGATTCAATTTAAGACTCTGTGACCTTAAACTAACCAATCATGCTCAAAAACTTTCCAACGTGTTTGTAGTTTGGACCCATTTACAGGGATGTAAGAGACTCATTGTTTGGTGTCACAAATGCCTGATGGCAGCTTTGGACTTCAGTTATTAGGTGTAACGGTTGATTATGTTTTTTTTTTTTTTATAGAGACAGTATGTTTGGATTGTTTTTTCCCTTTAATAAAAATAATTAAGAAATTGTATTTTGTATTTGTTATGGTTGGTCTGATATAATAAGATGATTCGTTTAATGATCTGAAACCTTTAAATGACAGAAAGGAAACCAGAAGAAATCTTTAAGGAAGCTAATTGTTTACTCATTTATAGCATATATACCTTTATAAGTGTCTGAACATAAGAAATATATCTATAATAGCTTGCCTTGACCCAAGATTTTAGTTTGATGATGTATAACTCTGTTCAACAGTTGGTAAATTTACCCATTTTCTGATTAGAACTAGAATACGTTACTTATTACTGGGTTTCTGTTGCAAATTTTAGGTCCATGGAAAACAATTAGTATATAAGTAGTTTTCCATCACTGTCTGCTTTAAGTTATTGGCTGTTTGGTTTGGACTGGACATCACAGTATAATGAGGTTTCTATCAGGGATGAAACCAGGAATTAGAAAAAAGTGTGTTAAATAAATGATGCCTCACCTATAAGAGCTTTATATGCTTCCTTTCTCAGGTAATCTACCAGAATCTGCAGCAGGAGGTCACAGAGGCCGATGCGTATGACCAGCCCAAGTGTCATGATGGCCCTTGTGACCAGTCTTGTGACCACGGCGAAGAGGAGCAGCCTCTGATGAAGACAAACAACTATCAGTTTTGTTGAAATTGCCTCAAACAACAATACATTTGTGAAAAGATTGACCACCAAAAAGTAAAACAAAACAAAAAAAAGTAAATAATAAAATGAAAATTAATCAGGAAAAGCAAGATCAGCTGCGACTCTTGGGATGAGGCCTTTTTTTTTTTTTTTGCAGCCCTGCAGACTGTTACCCTCTCAGCTATTTTGTGCCCTATGTGCCGTCCGCCAGACAGACGACCGGCTGCAATAAAACATGTGACTCTCTTCAGTGCAGATCATGACTAGAAACGGCCAGGTCTAACCTCAGCTGCAGACATGAAGGGAGGAAACACGTCAACAAGTGTGCAAGCTTTCATAGCTGCATTCTATTAAAAATATCACCCCTGCTGAACTGTTAGACAGTCTTTTGTCTTACATATGTTTTTTTTTTTTCCACAGCTTTTTTCATCAGTGGGCCTTTTGTTTATTACATTTTTTTTTACTGCCACATGATAATCTTGTTCTCGTAAAGGTTGAAATCAGCAGGATCACTTCCTTTTAATTGTTTCATTGCATGCATATGCAAAAGAAGCAGGTATACAATTGCAAACTGGACTAAAAAAGCTTGATGTAGGATTTTCTCTACTTTAGTTTGTTGTTCATCTCCCTCTATCAGTTAAAGTACAAGCGTATTTCCTCCTTGTTGGCTGAACATGGTAAAATCAGGACATGCTGTTTTCTTTCTCTGTGCTTCTGTCATGGCTGTTTTCCTTGCGACACACTTCCAATTCTCATTGGTGGTTAGAATCATGTGATTTTTCCGCTTCACTTTAAGTGATTTACCAGTGTTTAGCGTAATTTAGCTGCAGGAAAATCTGCGGCTCTCTTTTGGAACAGAGAAAACTTTTATATCTGACAATGTGAACTTCTTTTTTCCATTTTTTTTATGTGCATTTTGTAAGTTGCAAATACATCTCTCTTCCAGCATAAGATGAATGTTTGCATGAAAATGTCCTCCTAATGTAGCAGTAAGCCTACACTGCCAAATGTATGATGATTCCTAATGACATAAGCTATGTGAGCAATGCAGACTGCATATTTGTGCGACGGCATTTTGTGTTTGAAACGAAACACGTGAAATGTCTCATAATGTACATATATATAAATATATATATATATATAAAACAAAATCGAAACCTACCTTTATTTTCATTTAACTGTGGTAGATTGTAGCACATCAATACTTCAGACAGTTCTTGTTCAAATCACTGCAAATACAGATGATGAATAAAGCGTTACCAAATAAGTCTGGTTTCTCCTTCAGTGTTGGTGGATCTTTGGAGAAATTTATAGTTTGTTTCTTTTTCCTTCGTAGACAGAAACTGTGTGGCCTTTGTCTTCTCTCCCCACTTCCTGTTTTCTCTCTGCTGTCGTCCATTCTGCATTTCTTCTGGAAAGTTTCCCATAACGTCTCTAAAAGTGGCAAAACCCCAGAACTGTTAAAAGGAGTGTTTCAAAATATCTATCTAGCAACCTTAATATTTCAGCTTGTCTGGCCATTTCACAGCAGCCAAACAATAGATCGATTTTGCTACCCCAGACTAAAATTCTATTTTGAATCAGTCTTTGGGGTCTTGTTTATCAAGACATACAGACTACTGCAAAATAAATCATCATTACAAAGGAGTCCTTCTGTTTTACTGTTTCTGTGTGTACACTGGTCACTCAACATTGCGAGATTAATTTATTATAAATTATGTCCCAAAAATAAGCGATTTATGTCCCAAAAAGTCTTGAAATTATATTTTTCCTTTTACTGTGGAAGAAAGAATTGACAGAATTTACATTGATCCCTTTCTGTTTATGTATATTTTGAAAAAATTGTTAACATGTGAGCATATATATACCTGAATTTGTCTAACAGATGCACAGGACAGCTGTCCCAGTGTGGCTGAAGGCAGATTTGGGAAAATTTATATGAAGGCTCGACACAACAATATAGTCGAGGGTTTATCCTTAATAATATAAAGGCCAACATAAAGGATATAAAGGAAAATATAATGAACAAAGTTGTTGGTGTTTTGTCTTAATGGCTGCAGAATTGCAGAAAAGCCTGAGCCATTAAATTCATAGAAACAGCTTACTGTGGCATGTGGTATTTTCCTGATGCAGCTTTGATTATTGATAAGTCAGGCTTCAGAATAAATAGTAATGTTAGTTGTTCCCTGAACCAAATTTAAAGGAGAGGAGGAAGCTACCTTTATATGACTCTGTGGACTCTTTGGCGAAACAGTTAAAAACATTGTTTTTAATTAAAAAAAATAATAAAAAAATTAATGCTTATTTTTAATGGAATTGTATCTTATTTTGTTTATTTTCCATTTTAACTGCTTTTTTGTTGGTTTTCAGTACATTGCTTTTGCGATCCTTTATCTGTGAAAGGCACTTACTGTAATAAATACATTTTACTGACTTAAGAAAGAAGTAATTTAAGTAAGTGCTTAGGTAAGTAGAAAAGGAAAGAAGGAAGGAAGGAACTATGGTTTCCTGACCTAAACCCGATACAACTGGGACGAATTAGAACAGAAACTGCAGGTGTAATGTACTCAACACTCATGTCTGAGTTAAAACTGAGCTTTTGGAGGATTTGTCAACAGATCCCATAACAAGCCTTTGCACAACTGCAACCCTTAACTGGCAGAATTGCTGTAAATAAAATGACTGTACTACCCAAAATTATTTTGATATTCTTAATGATACCAATTCACCATCATCTCTCTTGGTTTTAAACGATTGATTCTGTATCTACTCACTTCTAATGAAAAAAACAAAACACCAAGGATTAAATAATCAAAACTGTAAAAGCTCTAATTATACACAAATCACTTATAAACATATCTGATATCCCATTTTTAGATAAACCCATGAAACGCCACTTTTGTTTTAAGGAAGTAACAAGATCTTCGGCCCTAACAGCCTAACAATGGAAGATCCACCAAATTTCCATCGTCCAAAGCAAAGTTGTTAAAGTTACACAAACACCACCAAGTTTTTACACAAGTGCAATAAACACATTAGACACCTCAATAAACCCAACACATTATTTATACTCTTTATACTGGACTCGGTCCTAAACTAATTAATTTATTATGTTGCTGCAGCTAAAATTATCAATATTGAAAACAATCAGTATCAAAAATAATAATAAGTAATAAAAAAATGTGAATATAAAGTCTCCTAAGAAATAATTTCCAAAGAATACCATAAAAACATTAAATATTCAAGCTAATAAATACACTGGAAAAAAATCAAAATCTATACAAGTCATTTTTTATTAAAATAAGTGCATTTGTTCTTGGATTGAGGAGGTAAAAGAGACATTTTGCCAACGGAACAAGACAATCTACACTTAAGATAAGAAAACACAATTGCATTGTCTTATTTCAAGTGCATATTATCTTATTTTAAGAGTAAAAATATTAATTCCATTGGCAAACTATCTAATTTACCTACCCAAATTAAGGGTAAATACACTTAATTTAAGAAATTCTGATTTATTTCTAGATCATTTTTCCAGTGCATTACCAATAACTAAATGAGGAAAAAAGGTTTTCATTTGCTCCAGATTCTGGCTTCTGGACTTAAGCTGTAAAAATATTTACTACTTCCCCAAAAATCTTCATTAATTTCATACAGAATTCTCCATAGAGCCCTGTACACCGGTGACAGTTTAGGTAAAATGGGATTCACAAATGTATTTTCTTTACCCTGCACTAATTCATATATCCATGCTACCTGTCTTAGCAACCCAGTCAAACTCTCTGCTTGCTAGGGGACCTAACAGTACATGACAATAAAAAAAGAAACTGCATAACTTTGCTTGCTGCTTTAGTCGTCGCCAGGCATACTATACACTCATGAACTGAAAAACTAAAATAAACATTTACATAAAACAATAAAAAACTAATCCTTTATATCTGCGTAGAGAATACTAAACCAGAGATTCTCTCTACTCCTTCTCTTTACTTAAGAACCAATATTCCACCAACACTTTCAATTATTCCATTCTTATTTATAATACACAGCTTTTTCAGTCTAATATATAATAATGGTTGCTATTATTACTATTATTGACAATAATAATTCTTTCCTAATCTGCTTTTATTCATTTTTTCTTTTGTTCACTTATTTCAGTTTCGATGTACAAAAAGAACATGATATTAATTATTATTTCATGTTAATACTGTTGAGATTATGTTTTTGATAACCAATATCATTGACAGTGACACTTTAAAAAAACAGACAAAATACAGATTTTATGCTTTTAAGAAAAATTTAATAGTACTATTGAAAAATCAATAGTAGTAAAGCTCCAGTCCTTGTTTTATTAATATAATGTTAACAATATTCAACAGTGCTGTTAGAACACTGCCACCTCTGTTTTTAATGCATCTCTGTAAATCAGGGAATAATAAAAAAAAACACTAACATATATGCGAGTGGGCCTCATCTGATCTCTCCCCTTGTGATATTATTGCTTTGGTATTTCTGTTTTTTTCTTCTTTTACTCAATTTACTTTGCCACATACTCACACAAGCACACATTGTACCTATCCTTTTTTTTAAGTTTGTTAATTTATCCTCTTTTTCCATAAATGTTAACTTAAAAATCTTTTTTTAAAAGGCTTACCAATGGCTGCAAGGTTAGGCCAACATAAAATGAAATCCCATAGACCATGAATGGAGGGTAGTGCTCTTATCGCATTTAAATCAAATATCAAAATACATCAAATTATTAGTAAGAAGACCAAGGAATTTATAGTGATCTCAATTACTTTTAAACAAATGTGCTCTAAAAGAAAAATTATATTCCAATAGAAATTAATTCTTTCCTATTACAAAAATAAAAATCATCAGGGGTTTAAAAATGGCAGAAAGTGTTTCTCTCAGCTAGAAGGACATTTTTGCTAAAATGGTTGGCATCTATTAAATGTGTAATAATTTCAAATCAGTTTTGTTCCAAAACCAAAAGCCTCGGGTAGTTATATTTCTATTTGTTTGATCTGCTTTAATAAATGACAAGCAGATGAATTTTAATAAACTACTCATAACTTATTTCTTAAAGAAAAACAGTAAATTTTAGCTACCAGAGTGCGCTTGACAAGTAACTTGCAGGTTTAATGCATAAATCTTATGACACTATCAAACTTTACACAATAATGGCATGTAAATAAACATTTGCTGTGCAAAACTTTAAAATCAAACTGTAATTTCAATGAACAAGTATTAAATAAGAGGAAAACTTTAATTAGAAAAAAATCTTATCCCAATATAGGAAGCCTATTGTAATACAACACTAATCTGTTGCCTCTGCTTTAAAACAAACAGAGCTGCCACGGCTCTGTGACGCTGAACCGGCTACACTGATGCACTCTGCTACTGTAACTGGGAACATTGGAGGTAGACAACATTTTTTGCTCTCATGTGAATCTGTAACACTTTTCATTGGCTGATGTGATTCACATAAGTGCAGTTAATCTTAAAGATGCAATTTTAACCTTTCTTCAGACAGGAACAGGGACACCAACAACCAGTGATGGTGGGGGATTAGGGGAGCTGTGGGCATAATCGCTGTGAAACAATCAGGAAATAACTTTTTATTCATCAGATTAACAACAGTTTTTAATCAAAGCAAGTTCTCCTATTGTTACTCTGTGCCTCTCTACCAAGTTATTCCTCTCTTCAGCGAATACAACTCAAATTAAAGTTCTTTGGGTTTTAACTTTGCGGCATAAATTATGAGTGAAAATTGCATTGAGAATCAAGTACATGAAATAAAGTGAGAACACACACATATGTAGATAATCAGAGCTCAGTCCGTGAAACCGCCTTCAGAGCAGAAACGTTTAAAGGTTTTCTGTGAATGTTTGACCAACCCGAGCATCTCTTTCTGAAAATCCACAGGATCCTGTTGCTGATGTTGTGCATAACTTAACTGGTTTATCTAAAATTCTGATCTAATTATATTTTCATAACATGTTATAATGATGGGGTTGTTATTTTAACAGTTTTTTTTGTCATGATGTGTTTCTGTCACCTTTAATATGGTTATTTAAAAAAAAAAGCTTTGTTCTGTTTAAAAAGCACTTTTTGATTTTTGAACATGTAAGGGATAATGGGGGAAT